CCCGCTTGTCGATGTCGCCGTGCTGTAGCTGAACGAAACGCGCCGATATGGCGGCTATGTAGCTCTGTTGATTGGAGAAGGCCACGCGCCCGGCACCCTTGGGGTACTTGAGCTCGGGATCGGTGTCGATGCCGGCGTAACACACACCTCCGTAAAGGCGGTCCATGATCATGGCTAGCTCGAAGGCTTTCAGGGGACGTGGCACGCCGCCGACAAACACCGTCTTGCGAGGATCCAGCGACATGGTAGCATCCAGCACGTAGTCTGCGTCGGCCAGGCGCCATGGGCGGATCTGCACGGCCTTGTCCTTGATGGTGGGCGAAGAGACGCACAAGTAGAGCTTGTCCTCGTCCGTGATGCACGAGTCGATCAGCTGCTGCACACTGCTCTCGTCCTGGAAGAGCAGAAAGGCGTAGCCCTTGGGTGGAAAGTACGACTTGGACTCGGCCTTGTGCGGCCAGTCGACGACCAGCGGTCCGAAGCGACGGAACGATGTGGTAATCTCATCCTCGTCAATGTCTGGCGGCAGACCACCCACGAACACCTTCCGCGAGAAGCGGGCCGTGCTATCGCCGGCCCCCTGACCCCCGTTGCCACCCTGGATGGGCGAGTGGGGCGAGTGTGGAGAGTGGCGCGACGGTGAACCCATTTTGAGGGCATTCAGATAGGCCGACGGATCATTGGAGTTGGCCGCTATGGCCATGGCATCCGCCTCGCTCAGGTGCTTGGGTCCACCCAGCACTCGCATCCTGTCCTGCAGCAGGGCCAGATTGTTATCCCCGTTGTTTCCCAGCGACATGTTGCGCATGTACTCGGTCAGCGAGTTATCCATGCCACCGCCACCGCCGCCATGGTGCATCTGTCCATTTGCCGGCATCATGTTGCCGTAGCTGTTGCCCATGTAGGGCGCATCTCCGCCACCAGCGGCACCGGCTGTGGGCATGCCACCGCTACCATTTCCACCGACACCACCATTGCCAATGGACAGAGTCGGTATGTTCATGTGCCCACCGCCGGACATGCCACCGTCCACCATATGCGATCCGGATCCTCCGTAGATGGCCGTCGGCGAGGTGCCTTTGATGGGGAAGGATATGCTGCGTCTGTACTTGGGCGACACGCCCGACATCTGGAGCGGAATGGGCGAGATGCCACCGCTGCTGCAACCCGCCTGTGAGCCATTGTACGGAGATCCTCCGCCGCCACCGCCGTTGCCTCCGCCTGGTGACGAGGGACTGTGGGCTCCGCCATCCCGCAGCTGCTGCTGCTGTTGCTGCTGATGATGATGATGCAGTGCACTCAGATTCGGAGATAGCTGCTGCTGATGCACTTGCTGCTGATGTAGGTGCTGCTGCTGTTGCTGCTGCTGCTGCTGCTGCTGTTGCTGGAGCGGCGGCTTGCTGAGATTGAGATTGGGCGGTAGGCCGCTGCAACTGCAGGGAAGGACAACAAAGATGAAGAGAGGCTTTTACAACATTGGCAATTTGAATGATTGATGATTGTGGATTGATTGTCTGTGATTCGGATTCCGATTTGGATATATCCTGTATACTACTATGTTCTTCGCATTATAAAAAGGAGCAATTGGTCAAAGATTTGCTTCGGTTAAATACTAAAATGTACAAACATAATAATGCATTTGGATGTGTAAGTGGTGTGTGTGTGTGGGGTGTGCTTAACCCATTGCCGCCCAGCGTTTAAACAAATTAAAGCACAAATACTCAAAAGAAACGTTTGATTTAATCAACTGATAAGACATCTCGTTTTACGGTATATGGTCGGGCTTGGTCTTCTCGGAAGGCTACATACAAATATATCCTAGTGCAGATATCGCAGCTATTTTCACATTCACACACACACATTCACAAAACGACGAATAAATAAATAAAGTCATTATTCTGTGGGATATATATAAGCACTGAAATAATACATACAATTCAGTGTGTTTGAAAGCTATGCCAGAAAAGTATTTTAAAATCTTAGATTCGGATTGCTAAAACTGCTCAAACGTAAATTATAGCCAACTAATACAAATTTCTAAATGAATTATTGCTGTTGAAACGATAAAATAATAATAATTATACCTATGCAAATCTTTCTTTCTGTTGCAACTAGATTTTTGTGGTGTGTATTACAAAAGTGACCGGCCTGTCTGTATAATCCTCATTCAAATCCTGAATTGCTCCTTTTTTTTGTTGTATTTCTTTACATGTATAGTATATAGTATATTCTTTACTCGTACTTTTATTGTGTATATTTCTTTATAGATATCTCTCAGATCTGTTGTTGTTGTTGTTGGCGCTTGTGGTGTAGGATTGCTGTTGCTGTGGTAAATGATGTGGGTGGTGGTTTTTGGTGGCGGTGGGTGGCAGTGGCAGTGGTGGTGGTATTGTTTTAATTTTTTTTTTGGTGGTGGTGGTGACTTGGTTTGTTTGCTAAAGATCCAATCAAAATGAAAATTTGAATTACGCTGGCGTTATTTTTGTTGATGTATATTTGACGTTTTAGAAGGCAGCTCGTTATGGGGTTTTTTTTTTGGATATTTGGTTGGTTTTTTTTTGTTGTTAGTTTTTGTTTGGCACTGTGCTCGCGATATAAAACAACTTTGATTCGGTTTCTTTTCGTTTGGGGGATTTTTCAACACTTTCTTAGCTGCTGCTGCACTGACACTGGTTTAATGGTTAGTTCTCGAAGGAAACGAAACGGCCCAGAATAACAAACAAACCCGAAACATACAGAGAAAGATGTAGATTGATAGATAAAGAGAGAGAGAGAGAGAAGACAACTAAAGAAATCATATACCGACGCGTAAATTTAGTGGAGGCACAGTGGGCGGCAAGGGGGGTTTATACGTATCATATACATACATATGTATGTAAAAATGTATGATAATAGAAAACTAAACTAGTTCAAATCGTTATGTTGTTGCTGTTGCTGTTGCTGGTGTTTGTGTAATTTTGTGGGTCTATTTGTTGGTGTTTTGGCACTATCATGCTAATGGATTGAACAACAACAACAAAAAAACGCACTGCATGTCAAACTGTGAGGCCAGGCCAAGACGCGAGACATGAAATTGCATGGAAACTTTTCATTTTAAATATTACAAACACGTTGCCATGTGAGGCAGATGATAGGATTGATGGGGGCGGCAAGGCATGGGTTTTTAACTGCTGCTGGTTGCTTCCCCTGATGTTCATGATGATGATGATGATGATGATGTGATGTTGATGATGAAATGTGTGTGTAACAAACATGTTGGAACGTGTACAAGTGTAAATAGATAAAAAAAAAAAAAAACCAGCAACAGAGAGGGAAAAGGGATGGAGCTGCTCTGGTGGTTGTAGTAATGGTAGTGATGGCAGCAATGGTACGGTACCCGCCGATGGTGGTGGCTGTTGGCTGGTGCTGGTGTGGTGTCGTCTGCTACGCTTTTGATAAGAGTGTCGCCCCCTCAGGTAACAAGAGCAACAACAGTAACAGTAACAACCCTGACAAGAGGCTGGCGATAACGACAGTGGCAACTGTCGACAGTGTTGAAAAATGCAATTATAAAATGCAATTAACTCTCGAAACTTAATTAAAAAGGTAACGGAAATGAATACAGAGACGGAGAAGCGGAAATAAAAAATAAAAAAACTAAAAAAGAACATGACAACTGTCACAAGAGCTTAGGGATTGGTGTACAAAAATACAAGAAAAAATAGTTAAATCTGATTGACACGAGAAATTGAAAATCCGACAGCAAATAGTCTTTAAGAATACATATACTCGAAGCATACTCGTACTTGTACTCGTATCTACAGTACACACGAAAATCAATAAAGCGAATCAGGCGCAATGACGTCTAGCGATGGGAGGAGGCAGGCAGCTCAGGCATACTAAAGCTCAGGTGGTACCAGCAGAACCAGAAATCAAACAGAGCTAGACTTGCTGTTTTTTAATATTTAAAATGAGAAATAACAAGAAGCCCACAAATGAAAATGGAAATGGGGAAAACATACACACACAGAAACTCACAGAAACAAAACTTGGGCGAGACGACGGGCACGTGACGTGACGTTGAGGGGACATAGCGAGAACTCTCCCCCAAACCCACTAAAAGGAACCACCACCCACACGGCCAGACGGGGAGGCACTTGAGCTGAAAGTTGCAGACGGACTTGGGCATGGGAGAGGAGAAAACGTTGCATGATTGTAGGCAGCATAAACAAAGCAGCCTAGCCTGCACTCCACAGATGCTCCACGTAGAACACCACTACAAATGCAGTTGTTGGTGACAAAGCAACAAAAGCAGTCCAGGACCAGGACCAGAGCCAGAATCAGAGCCACGACCAGGCTGGAAGGCAGGCAAGTTTACGGCCATTGGCAGTCGAGGCAACGCCGCCGAGGATGCATTAAAAATGCACAAGTGGTGCAGGACTCTTACAAAAAAAAATCAAAGTCACAAAACTGCAGTAAAGTCATTTTTTATGTCCAACAACCCAACGGTCAACGAACTTCGGGGAAAACTAGTATGTGGCAGAAGGAAATGCCCCAATTGGAGATTAATAAAAGCAAAAAAAGAGCTCCTATTACTAGAAAAACTTTTGGTTGTTGTCCAACACACCTGGGTAGAGGTACTCCAAGGCTAGTAGCTTGCAAAAATTCAGGTTGGAGGCATTCCAGCAAACGCTTTTGATATACATTTTTAATGTTGGTGATTCCGTTTAGATTTGAGAGATTTCTCTGCAGTCAGCAGCAGGAAGCACATCAGCGGCAATTACTGGGAATACCACTATTATGTGTGTATGCTGTATGTACGAGTACGAGTATTTATGCATGCAATTTCTATAAATGTGTATGTGTGGCAACAACAAACAACAACAACGATTATGTTAGGGCGTTTTCAACTAGTTTTTTGTTTGTTTGTTGGTTAGTGTACATTTAAGTCCCTTCCCCACCCCCAAGAAAAAAAGGAGAGTGTTGTAACATGTAAGCTTGTCGTGTGGGGAAGCACTCACCTTTTGCGATTGAAGAAGCCACCGCCTTGCATGTAGTTATTGCGCAGATTTACTTCTTCGTTCTGATCGGATACAATGCGGCGACAGGGAAGCGTTCAAAGGGAATGAAAAGAAAAGAACATTTTGCAACAATGAGTAATATTGCCAAATGATTTTGCAACGAGCACATCTGTTGCAAGTTTTTGGCAACGTTCGGTTCGGTTCGGCCAACGTTTGCAGCGGTCAAATATTTATGCGGACCCGTTCCCGCAAAAATAGACAACACACGCGCGCGCACCGCTCACCGCTCTCTGGCAACAACAAAAGCAAATAAAAAATTTAATTTTTTTTGTTTTCTTCTCTTTAAAAAGTGAAACCATTACAGTGGCATGGCAGTGGAAGAGGCAAATCAGAGAATAAGTGTACTACTAATTTGGGCAAGCAAATGCTAATTGCCAACTGCCGCACCGACAGACGAGTAAACGAATGAACGACTGAAAGATCGCGTTCTGTTCTGTATAATTTATGTTTAATTGCGATAAATCGGTTCTGCGACAAACGAAACTAAATGAATCATAATTTGAGGCTTTGCATTTGTTGATAAAAACGTAAACAAGAATGAAAGTCTATGTTCTGGGTGTCGAAGGTTTAGATACCCTGACTTTTGTATGGCCAATGATTTTGTTTATATTTTTCTTAATTATTTAGATGTGCCAACTATTACTTGGAAAAAATGTTCTTTCCGTTCCGTTGATTTGTACAAATTTCGCATAAGGGATAGGGCACATCATTCGCGAATGTGTATGCGCCACCCCCCCCGGTACTAAATGATATATTTTCAGTAATAAGAGTGATCTTTGAACAGCCAGGGATTAGTTTTAGCAGAAAGGCTTTCTTTTATGCGTTACAGCCTTTCGATTGCTGCGATAATTTTGATTGATACTCACGCTAAAGAGTGCCGCTTGCATCTGTTGGTGCGAGGGGCTGCTGGAGAGGGAGTCGCACGTCATTCCGGCGGCATTGAGGCCCATTCCGTTGTTCTTCATGCCCATAAGCGTGGGTGATGCATCGCCACCTCCACTCGCCCCACCGCTGGGACTGAGCTTGTTCTGGTGGAAGGACTGCAGGATGTCTTCCAGCGAGTCATCGTTGGCATTAAAGCGCACTGTGATCGGCGTGCTGCTGTTGCTCAGGCCGGGCGGCGACTTGGATGATGATGCTGTCGTCATGCCGCCACACGCTGTGTTCGAGGATGTGGGCGATGTGGCTGCGGATGCTGACGCGGATGTCGATCCGGACAGGTTGCTATTGCTGCCACTGGCACTGCTTGTGGCACTACTGGCTGTGAGGAGAAGGGGATGGGATGAGAAACCAGGTCTGTTGTTAGCTGTTTGTCATCCGTCACACTTTCTGGCTTCCCTTACCCTTTGGTAACTTGAGCGAGTCCATGGTGCCCGCACCAATGTGGGTGTTATACGGCTGCACTTGAGCTGCCCCGGGGGCTGCGCGTCACTTCAGCTGTTGCCTTAGCCTACATAGAAAGTGGAGCAGAGCAGAGCAGCGCACGTTGGAATTCGGATTGGAATTGGTAAGCATATGTATATCCATTCAAAAAACATCAATCAGTCGCCAGAAAATGTCGGCAAATGAAAAGAGAAAGAAAAATGGAGAAGAAAGAGAGAGGGATTGTTAGATAAGTTAATCATATTTCTGCTCTGTACAATCGGTTCTTCGAAATGTCAACACGTCAACCGCATCCCTCAAGCGTCCACCCCAACCCACCCGAACTGAACGTAATTGCGTTTAAAAATAAATAAAGCATGCGGAGAGGGAACACCAACACACAGCCAGCCACAACAAAAGCAAAAGCTATTTGACATTAATTTTTATTTTCCTATTTTTAAAACCCTTAATATAAGTATTTTACCGCTGACCGTTTCGGCCGTTGATGTTTCTTTCTGGTCGCGCCTCCTCTCTGTTGCCAAACACACATTGAAAATATTCTTTATTACGAGTATATATAGAAATAGAAAGCTGCAAAGATATGCGAATAAAAGTCAAGATAATCGCACCTTAACTGAACTTTTAATGGAACTTTATATCCAAGTATGTACAATCAGATACATATATTCTTGTCTGATGTCGGATTTATAGGCAACCCCACAAAAAAAATATATTATCACTGATTCATCATTGGGGAACTGGCAATTTGTTTCAAGTGACGGACGAGTCGTTGTTTTTTTCTAGTTTGTACGGCCATATAGAAAAAATTGACTATCAGTTCACGTTCCACCTTATATCGGGAACGACGAAAATGCGACGATAAAATTAGCCATTAAATGTGCAATGCGTACGGCGCAAGAGGCAGCGGCAACCACAACAACCATCAATCAATTATTGATAAGCAAAGTGTTATTTTTTGTCTAAAATTTTCTCGTATTTTCTGTTTTATGACTAATAAATGTACACACATACATACATTCAGATACATATGTACATGTACGGAGATATGTCCAGATAATGGGTCTAGCGGTCTAAAATTGTAGCGCAATTCAAGCGAACCAGAAATACCGGGCAAACGATGGCGGCAGGGGGATTACAATTGATCGCTTTTCCAATTAGAAAAGCCACCCCCGAGGGCAAGCGATTTTAGTGGGGCTCCAGATGTCGGTCAAATATGTATGCTCCATGCTCAGCTCTGCCCATTTTGCATACAATATCCAATTTCCCGAGCTTCAGTCTGGTCCGGTCCCGTCCCCTTCCGTTCGTATACACGCACTTCATTCTGGTTTGCGCGACCGGAAAACGTCTATTGTTCGAAAAGGGATGGGAATGGGGTGGACAGTGGGGGGTTTAATTAGTTAAATGCAGAGAGACAACAAAATTGTTGTGCCAATGAAATGGCTCACTCAGGCATGAAAAGCTGACCGAAGGTGCCACCGCACCCCCTACTGGCAAACCCGACCGCCCAACAACCCACTGAGAAAAACAAAATACCCCCAAAAAAAGAAAAGCAGGCATAATCAATACATAATTTTGCCCTACAAACGAAAAGAGAGCCCAAAAAAACCGAAGACGAAACGACGACGTTGCCGCACAGAAATAACAACAATGACAGTAACGCCCCCATAACACACACACACACACACCTTGAAAAGTAAACAAGTGTGTTGTGCCGCCAAAAGCACAGACAGCTTGGCTCAGCTTCAAGAGAACATACGATAAGCTAGAGATGGGTGGTAAGGGGGCTGTCAATGTCACGATTTAATTGGAAACAAACTATAGAGAATCCTACCATATGTATCCTATTGTATTAAAAACAGATACAATGTGCTAGAGATGTGAGATTTTAAAGATGTCAAAGTTACGAATAATCTATCGCATAAAAATACAAACTATGTTATTATTCACTGGGAAACGATAAGATAAATATCAATCGTATCGAGTCGTTAAAAGGTACTAGTAAACACCTCCACAAACCTACTCAATAGTAGTGAGTTCTAAACAGTCTTGATATTTACTATTAGCTTTGGAGCATACAAATAAAAAAAAAACAAATAATCGCCCATCTCTAGCTGCGCTTTTATTACGCGATGCAGTAATTCTGTCCGTTTGCCGTCTGTGTCTGTGTGAGTGCAAACAAATTTGGTTGAAAAACTCTTAGCAAATGAAGTTTGTTTGCTGCCTGCCTCCACTGCTTTTGTGTGTGTGCAGTTCTATTATCACGTCTGCAATTAGACTTAAGTAACTGGGCCAAGTTGCAGCTTTTATCCAGATTTCAACGCGCCCACCCTTGGCAAGGGAAGAGAATTTGGGCTGGGGGTTGGGGTCTAGGGAGATTTTTTAGGGGTTTATTGCGGTCTTTGCTTTGCTCAACTGATTCGTTGCCGTTTTGCCAGTTGCCCCAATTTCAATTGGTTACGTACGTACATATACACACACACACACACGCGCGCACACTATGAGATCTCTCAGAGATGAAAGCAACCCTGGTTGGGAGCTGCGCGAGTCCGAGGAAAAAGTAGGCCAAATAAGTCCGAATTTAAAATATGATTTTGACAGGTGCAAGAGCTACGCACCGCACCGAAAATTCGGCACTAATAAAAACTAACCTTTTGTTTTTTTTCGTATTGTTTTTTTTCTTACGTTGCTGCAACCGATGCACAGCAAGAGAGGCAGGCGACACACGAAGGCGAACGACGACGGCCGAAACTTTCAGGTGCAAGTTTTCTTTTCGCGTTAGTATGCGTGTGTTACATTTCCGGGGGTGCTCTTACTCACACCAGCAAACACTCGCGAATCTGTGACGTAGATGGAAACTACTCAGTGTGTTTTCTTCTCTTCGCTATTATCCCTTTTTTTTCTTTTTTTTTTTTTGCAACAGCAGCGAAAATTCGCCTGCTTCGGGAAATCCCCTTAACTATTATGCGATGCGATGGCGTTTTTCGTTATGAAAATTCGTTGCTTTTAATGCGCAGGATATTATCCCACTTTTCACCACTTACTTACGATACACTGCAAACGAAATTTGCACACACGGGACACACACAAGTTTTGCGGAAAAATTTGGAAAAGCACTGTTAATTTGTTAAAATGTTTTAACTATTTACACTAGAATTTTTAGAAAAACTTCCAATTTGAATTTTTTTTCCGAGCTGCTGCACCGTCCGCTCGCCAGCGAGACGACTGTGATATTGAAAGATTTTCACTGCTGCCTGCCTGTTCAAAAGGTTTGTGTTGTCGTCGACGTCGTCGTCGCCTACTTTTCCGACCGACACGCACGAGAAAAATCAATCATTTTCAGTTGTTTTGCTTGTTGTTGTTTCGAGCTTTTCCAACAACAACAAGCAGACAGCTGCTCTGGCGCAGTGCTGCCATGTAAGCGAACTACTGCATTACAGAAATCGATACATCGATATTTTAAATGCCCGCAATCGGTCCATCCGCCAAGGCAATAAATAAAAAGCTAATTAATAGCAACAATTACAGCTACAATAAAAAAATCTTTTGTTTGCAATCGCAGCGGTATAATATTATATAAATTAATGGATGTCTGGCAACCCCACAGCTGATTGTAGCTGCAATGCATGCAGGCAAAAACACAAGAAAAGCGAATTGAATTGAATTATATAAAACTGAACTACTTACAATATCAACAATGCAGCTCAGGCTCCGTTCCGCAATTGTTTAATGAAACTTTTGTTTATATCAGACACCAGCATCTATTTTTTGTCACCAGCCCCACACACTCGCGCTGCGAAACACTACTGCTTTGCTTTTTGTTATTACGGAATTTCTTTGGTTTGTTTTTTTCTTAAAAAAAAGCGCACCCACAAAATATACGCGCACCCAAAGTCTGATTTTCCCCGACGTGTGTTTTTGTTATAGATTTTACAAAAATATGTACATTTTTAATTGTGCGAGAACGAGAACAGGACAAATTCTAAACGTCGCGACGTAGCTTGCTGCTCCACAAAAAACAAACAGGTGTAGGTTTGTGCCCTTTTCAATCGAAGCTTGTATACCCTTTCCGACTAGCCGTATACTCCGTGCAGCAGTTTAACAATAAATTGATGGGTGAAATGTGCGCGTTTGTGTGGCTTTTCTTTGTAGTAATTTTGCTGAAGATTTTGGTTCAATTAAACATTTAAAAAGCACAATTTCGTCATAACCATTGCTGTTATTTATATAGCCTGCGATACTCTACCATGACTTCGAACTGGTTCGATAAGTGGCACAGCTGATTCAACTGACAGAAAAAAATCCGATTGCTGGACAGCGCGCGTCTTTCAAAAAATTCAAAATTTGCTCATATTGTGTGAAAACAAAGCCGACGGGCACATTTGGGAGGCCTGTATGCAGCAATAACAAAAAAAAAAAACAATACAAAAATATATACATATATAAGAATTAAATAAAACAATCGGAGGGGAACTACACTCCGATTGGATCTCAACACTCACAAGATCTCATTAAACACATCACCTGGAGACACACCTTGGGCCTGTCAAGACACATAACGAACTCGAAATAAAGCAATCGACAAGTGTATGTCCTGCCCATACAACTCAATCACCAGTATCTGATCAATGCGGCAACGTACATAGCTGCGATCAAACCCCAGTCGACAATGCGATGGTTTAATCACAAAAAAAAAACCGACCATAACACGCTCTATCTCACTCTCTATATTCGTCTCTCCGGCAGCAGCACTTACTCTCTTCCCACACACATCTTTACATAGTGTTTAAAACAAACAAAGGCAGAATAGACCGGTTCTTGATAAGTCTGACTTGTCTGACGATTGCTCATCTCAGTTATGATTATGGGTGCTAGAATGGCGGATGCATCTCGCGTTATTGTGTTGAGCTGCTGTCTTCTCACGCTTCTCCTCCTTGGTGTGCAAGTGCTCGGCTATGAGGTGCCAAAGGCCAAGATAGAGGTATTCTATCCCAAAGGATTTGAGGTTTCCATACCACACGAGGAGGGCATCACACTGTTCGCTTTCCACGGCAAGCTAAACGAGGAGATGGAAGGTCTGGAGGCGGGCACCTGGGCGCGGGATATTGTCAAGATGAAGAACGGCCGCTGGACCTTCAGAGACCGTTTGGCGGTGCTCAAGCCAGGCGACACGCTCTACTACTGGACATACGTTATCTACAATGGCCTGGGTTATCGCGAAGACGATGGCACTTTTGTTGTCGATGCTTACAACGGCAATGGCACCGTCCCAGCGACTACACCCAGACCGCAGGTTGCAACCGACTCCACCACTCCCTGGATCTGGCCATCGGACCCGGATATTGACATTCGAGTTGGTTGCACCCAACCGAAGACTCAGGTGAACGGTGGACCTTCTCGCTGCGCGGGACAGTTGGTGTTTGTGGACGAGTTCAGTGCCGGAAAATTGGACACCTCCAAGTGGCTGGCGGAGCGTCGTTTCTCCGGATCGCCCGACTACGAGTTTAATGTCTACGTTGACGACACCCACAACACGCTGCGCGTTCACAACGGCCACGCGATACTGGCAGCCACAGCGACGAAGCGCCAGTTCCACAAGAATTTGGAGGCCAAGCTGGATCTGGGTAGCGGCTGCACGGGTGTCGCCAACACGGCGGACTGTGTTCGTGATGGCAGGCAGCGGAACGATCGCCTGCCGCCTATGGTGACGGCTCAGTTCTCCACCCGGCAGAGTTTCTCTTTCAAGTACGGACGGGTTGATGTGCGCGCCAAGATGCCGCGAGCCGAGTGGCTGACGGCCCAGCTCTGGCTGCAGCCCAAGACTCCTGAGTATGGAGAGGACGACTATCAGTCGGGACAGATTCGCATTGCCTACACCCGGCCAGCCAATGACAAAGTAGATCTGTACATGGGAGCGCTCCTCAATGCCGAGGAGCCACTCCGCTCGGCCAAAGTCTGCCACAGAGTAGGCAGCAGTGAAAGCTCAGATGACTGGAGCGATAGCTTCCACAATTACACCTTGGAGTGGACGCCGCGGGAGCTCAAGTGGCTGGTCGATGGCAGGGAGATTTGTCGCCAGGGCAGCGAAAGCATAGCGTTCAGCGAGACAAGTGTGAATGGGTCGCGACTGCCGAATTCCCAAAAACTGGAGGAGGGCACTGGCCTGGCGCCATTCGATCAGGAGTTTTACTTAACCTTTGGCCTGGCCGTGGGAGGATTTAACGAATACTTCTACGATACACAGAAGCCGTGGCATGAGCGGGAGCCTCGGGCCATGACGGACTTCTGGAGGCACCAGAAGCCGATGCTTGACCGTTGGTTGGATGACGCCCATCTATCAATTGACTATGTAAAAGTGTATGCTCTGTAAACTGCTAATCTTAAAAAATAAATGCATTTCATATTGGTCCTTCGAGCCGGAATCTTGCTTCATCGAGATCGTTCCAGCAAGCATAGCAGTCTGACTTTGAAAGAGCTCCAAAGCACGATGTAAGGGGTCCTCTAACCGACCTCGCTCACTCCAAGGTCTGCACCGACAACTGGATAGTCTCCTCGAGACTATCTGTGCCTCCAAATTGAAAAAGTCTACCCGTGCTTTGTGGGAAGAGTGAGTCACTGAAAAAAAGGAAGTGCCTCCATGGACGGAAATCTACTCCTTCCTAATCAGCGGTGCTTGACGCTAGAGGTCATGGAGTGCGTCCCATCCATTTCCAAAGGCGATCAGAATCCACCACCGTCCAAAGGTAATCAAAATCCGCAGCCCTCCAGAAGCCAGTCCAATCCGTTCCGTTCCCAAGGCAATCCTGTTCCAAAGACGTCTGATCTCTGCTCCAAAGAGAATCACCCGTTCCGAATATGTCCTCACTTCCTGACCATGACCGTTGATGCTCGTTCCGTGCTTTTTAAATGTTAAATTGAGTAAAAGTCTTCAGCAAAATTACTACAAAGAAAATTAGTATCTGTATTTGTATATACACAAAAAAATCATGAACAGGTTAAAAACAATTCATTTTTAAAAGCTGCTTGGAAAACTGAATCTAAACATTAATTAAATTAATTAATTATACAAATATCGATGGTACCGTTTGACAATCAAAAAGTGCTCAAATTACGTAACATTCCATTCCCACTTACGTTACAATTTATTCCCACTTACGTTTTATGCTCTTATTTTTCGCTGACCTTTTTTGTGTAAAACTTATTTTATAAGCAATCCAATAAAAATAAAGCCCCAAAGTTAGCCAATATTGTAGAAAATTGATGTATCTATCGGATAAAATAATATTTTCCGTGTTGAAAGTCCTATCTTGCTAGTAATATTAAACTGAATATCAAAATCGGGGAACATTATTTCCGATCGTGGACAGAGAACGATTAACTTAACCCATCGTCGACCCATTGGGTAATTCGATTTACGCACGAATATTGTGAAACTTGAAACATTTTTTACGCATTTCAGGTGAATGATATCGTGTTCATTTTGTTTTTTAAGTAAAGAGGAAGAATGGAGTTAGAAGGAACTAATGTTCCGCGACTTAACTCCAGTTGGTCACCTGTTTAAGCAGAGTGTGCTTCGGTGGGTTAAATTCGATATTTCGTCGGTAACGATATTGCTCACATAACCTGCTCGCACCAAAAGTTCGACCAAAAGAAAAACACAAGTAAATTGAAAACTAATTGTTATTTTTTGACTTGGTTACTTAAACATTCACTACTCCTGCACAGACATAACCACAATGCAGATCACACGTCTCGCCCTGCGTCAAATCACACGCCACATTCAACTGCAGCGTATGTACAGTGCAGCGGCCCCAGCCGCTGTCTCGGGAGCTGAAAAACTGGTGCCGCCTGCTCCAGAGGGGGCCGCCAAGCCACCCAATCCCAAGCTGGACAGCATAGTCACCAACATTGCTGCTCTGAATCTGCTGGAGGTCGCCGAGCTGAGCAGCCTGTTGAAACAGAAACTGAACCTGCCAGAGACAGCTTTTGCCCCACAGTTTGCGGCGGGACCGGCACGTGCGGCCGCCGACGACGAGGAGGAAGTGGCGCCCAAGAAGGTGCAGACCTCCTTTACCGTGAAGCTGGTCAAGTTCGATGACAAGCAGAAGGTGGCGCTCATTAAGGAGGTGAAAAATCTGCTGGAGGGCATGAACCTGGTGCAGGCCAAGAAGTTTGTGGAAAGCGCTCCCACCGTTGTCAAGCAGGACATACCAAAGGAAGAGGCCGAGAAGCTGAAGGAGGCGCTGTCCAAGGCTGGTGCCATTATTGAAATTGAATAGGCCAAGGGGTGGGCGTTTTGCTTTTTCTATTGTGCTCTTAGCTGCTAGTTATTGTTTTAATAAAAGCCCAACAGGCAAGGCAACATTTGCTGTAAACTTAACAGAGCGTTAACATGCTTAGAAGTCGCCAACTTTCTACGCTTCGCTTCGGCCTGGAAACAATCAAAGTTTCAATCCACTTTTACCTTCCTTTTCAGTTTAAACATTAATTAGCTGCCGGATAGAGTCTGATATTAGTGGGAATCTGCTAATTTATGTCGTGCGTGCCGCGTTCTAGTAAATGCAGCAGCAGCAGGCAGCCATTCAAGAGAGCTTACACGCGCCCACAGCACTGCCAACACACAATTGAATTGTACCGTTACATCATCTGTAACCGCTTGTCGATCGCATCGGCATGAGATTATTTAAAGAAATAAAAACAAATCGAGCGGAAAGAAATGGCTCTAGACATGCGTTTACACACATATTAAGGGGGGTAAATAGCAAGCACTTTCTATTACCAGGCTCGAGGAATGGTTGGGGTATCATGCGGCGCCACACGCGTGCCGACTACGCGAAAACGGTGTAGCCCCGGACAGGCATTTCTATCACTTTCCTCGCCCAGTTATTTGTTATTTGTTTGCTGTCGTTAAAATAATACGCGTAAAATCGAATGAGAAATAAGATCAACATACCGAAGAATGGATGGTCGCTGGCCATTGGACTTCCTATGCGTGAGTGCTCCACATTCTCTCCAATTCCAACGAAATAAGCTTCACACGATCTTCGGTCAGGAGCGGCCCACCAGACTCTGCGGGTAAAAAGAACATTCTGCTTAACCATTTCTATCAAACTTTCCCAGTTGTAAAATCCGATAGAAGAGCATGGACAGGCCCACGACCGTCCCTGGAGCCAATGTTCGGCATTAGCATGAATGCCGCTGCCTCGTCGGGTTCTCTCAATTAGCACCTGGATCTGCGCCACTGTATGCCCCCAAAACTTTGGCCTGCCTCAGTTCAGTCTACGTTGTAACACAAGCGCGTTCGGACCTGCCTTTGATCGGTCTATTCCATCCATTCCGAATCCCTTCCAGATCGGCGAGCGATCTACGAGCGAAAACCGAAAGTGAATTGATTATTCATCCACCTAGTCATGTCTGCTGCTGCCATAAACTCCCCGCGCCTACTAGCCATTGTGGTGATCTTCTTCAGCAGCTATATTCTGGGCATCTACAGTGCGGCATGCGCCAGCAGCCAGCAAGTGCAGCAGCTGCAACCGCAACTTGCCAGCCAAAATGGCAGCTTGGACCTGCAGGCAGGCACAAACTCCAGTCTGGCACGCAGTGACTCACGACATCCTCGTTGTAAGTGGCTGATCGATCGATCTCTCCCTCTGCCAAAGTGTTTGAGCTCTCCCAGGCCTGATGAGTGCTGGAGGTTTGTTTTGTCGTAGTCGTGGTCTCCGTATGTGGGTCACGCCTCAATTATCACCTGAGTCCGGGATTCTTTAGTCTTAGCTATGCCCTCCAACCATCATTGGGTCCGCCCGGCAACGTTTCCGCTTCCAATGCACCTTCAATTCCATCCACGATTAGGAAGACTTGATTACCATTATCTTCGTGTAATCCTTACCCTTTTCCTTTTCAGGGTTTCCCTTTTACACAATCGGTCGCTTCTCCAACGACATTTGCGTGGGCAACAACCTGTTGCTGGGCACATGCGTGATTGATGGCGAATGCTCGGACAATAACGGAGTGGCCGCCGGCAGTTGTTCCACCATTACCGCCCAGGCCATCTGCTGTATTTGTAAGTACTTGGATCCCAGTAATCCCACTGCTGCCCTTCCATTGATTCTGCAATATCCGAATGCTTTTGATAGATCAAAGGACATGCGGAGCGAGCACCACGTACAACAATACTTACTTCTACAGCAGCAACTACCCGTCGCCGTATGCCGGAGGCGGACGCTGCTCCATTGTGGTGACACCACCGGATGCATCAATCTGCCAGTTGCGCGTGGACTTTCTGGCTCTGTCGCTGGCTCCGCCCACGGGCGATGGAGCGTGCAGCACCGATGCGGTTACAATTACGGGCGGGGCCTCGCAGGTGCCCAGCATTTGCGGCGAGAACTCCGGCCAGCATGTCTATGTGGACTTCAATGGCGTTAGCCCCATCACCATATCGGTGGCCACTTCGGCCGGCTACACATTCAATCGCCAATGGCAGTTCCAGATACGAATGCTGGGCTGTAAGTCGGACTCGCTGGCGCCAGCCGGTTGCCTGCAGTACTATACGCCCACCAGTGGCACCTTCTCCAGCTTTAATTACGTGTCCGCTGCATCCTCCGCTCTCAACTCGATTGGGGTGCAGGGCACGCGGCAGCTGGCGAACACCAAATACGGCATCTGCATACGCAAGGCGTCTGGCATCTGCTCCATCACCTACAGCCAGGTCAGCTCCGACACGTACTCCTTTACGCTGACCAACGATGTGGGCGCTGTGGATCCTACCCTGCTGGCCACGTCCTCCGTTCAGAGCCAGGATTGCACAACCGACTATATTGTCATACCCGCACCCACGCAGAGCGGCGCTTCGTTGGCCAGCGATCGATTCTGCGGCCTGGGCCTGGTCTCCACAACAACTGCGGCGAAGCCTTTTGTCGTCTACACGGTAACCGATGGCAATGAGGATATGGATATATCGAATCGCGGCTTCTACTTATCGTATTCGCAAAATGCATGTCCAATTCTATAGCTACCTTAACTAATATATAAATACAAAAGAAAAAAAAGAAAAAAAAACAAAAAGACTCGATGCTAGCTTATAAATTTGTCCATTGATAGCAGGTAAGTGAAGTGGCGTGGCAGGTAGTAGGAGGACCATCACCATCTCTCATTGAATGCGATTCAATTTACATTTTGTAAAGTTAGTTTACTATTATTAGTAAGTTATCTTAATGGATTATCAAACAATAACAAAGGCACTGGCCACTCGCACTGGGCACTAACTACATCCTTTGGCTATTGAGATCACGCTGTTTCCTGCATTATTGTCTCAATTTCCGCCTGCAGCTCCTTGACCTGCAAATAGACAATCGGAACTTTAAACTAGCTACTATCGTGGGCCATAATCTTGGCCAAACGAACCCTATTTTCGAAATGTGCCCGCGTTTTCTTGTCGGCCATTAGCTGGAAGGCTTCATTGTCCAGGCGCATGCGATACTTTTGCAGCTCAGTCATCAGCCGCTTCAGCCTTGTAATGTTGCTCCGAACCATCGCGTCACGCTGCTCCAAAGTCATGCCAAAGTCATCGTTCATGCTCAGGCCGAATGAGCAGAGTGCGCCGGCCGTGGAGAAGAGGTTCATTTTCTTTGCCTGCTTCGAGTTCTCGTCCAGCATATCCAGATCCACGCGCTCGCAGCGTGCCAGCAGCTGTATCTGCTGCAGATGACGGCCCAGAATCTCCTCGGACTCGGCATTTGTGGCAAACAATGTGAGTTTGGGTGCGTGTCGTTTGCTAACCTTGTGCTTGCTCTTCAGCTGACGAATGCTCTGGCAAATGCCGACTATGTCGTTGATCTCCGCCACCAGCTTGCTGTCTGCGTACTGTGACAGCTTCACCTCCATATTGAGGGGCACATGCTGCAGCAGCTCTGAGGCCACGAACGGTGTAAACGGCGCCATGGCCTGCAGTCCCCAGCTGAGGCAGGCGGTCAGGGTGCCCACATGGATGTAGCCGGTAGATGTACGATGGTTAATTTCAGTCTTGGTGGTTTCCTGCGGGTTAAATGGGACAGAGCGTCAAGGCACAAGTCGGAGAAAAAATGACCGCCATTGGCATACCAAGTAAGTATCACAGAGATTCTGATAGAAGAAATGCTTGAGGGCCGCCGTGGCCATGTGGAAATTGTAGTTGTTGTAGCTGTCCGAGCAGATGGCCAATGTCTCCGCCAGACGGCCTATGATCCAGCGATCCCAAGTGCCCAGATTCACTCCGTCCAGAGTCTCGAATTGGTGCAGCGAGACGTTCAGACGCTCCGCGGCGCCCAGTGTGAAGCGCATGGCCTGCCAGATCTTGTTGATGAACAGCTTGTTGGTGTGGCAGGTGCTCACATCGAAGTTGATGAAGTGGTTCTTAATGTTGTGGCTCAGGAGAGTGAAACGCAACGCGTCTGTGCCGCACTCCTGTATGCCCTTGGGGAACATTTTGCTCATGCACTTGTACGAAATCTCCAGCTCACCCTCATCGATGACACCCGCCGCGAGGGATTGCTCCAGCCCATCGATAATGCTCTGCAAGGCATTGGCATTCATCATTGTATGAGTAAAAGAAGAAGAGGCTTCTGCAGAGGTACTGATACTTACATCCATGCTGGCGCCTTGCACCACCTGCTGTGGGGCCACAATGTTGCCCAGGCTCTTGGACATTTTTCTGCCATGGGCATCGCAGACGATGCCATTGAGCAGCACCTTGTTGAAGGGCGCCTCGCCGGTCAGCTTCAGGCCCATCATCATCATGCGGGCCACCCAGAAGAAGAGTATATCGTGTCCCGTCTGCATTATATCCAGTGGATACTTTTCCTTGTACGACTCATTGGGCCAGCCAGCCGAGGAGAAGGGCAGCAGTGCCGATGAGAACCAAGTGTCCAGCACATCCGGATCACGGACCAGGCTGAGCTCCTTCTGTTTGCCGCCCAACAGGTGAAGGGCCTTGCGCCTGGCCTCCTGCTCGCTGGCAGCAGACACCCAGTGGACGTTGCCCTGGGCATCGGTGAACTGGTAGGCGGGCACCTGATGGCCCCACCACAGCTGCCGGGAGATGCACCAGTCGCGACCCTCCTCCAGCCAGCGATCCCACTCCACCTCAAAGTTGGACGGAACGATCTGCAGTCGGCCGCTGTGCAGCTCGGAGAGCGCCTTCTGGGCCATGTCTTTGCAGTTCAGAAACCACTGCGGCCAGATCATGTACTCGATGACATCCTTGGACCGCGAGCAGATGGGCAGCTGCATGGCATGGGGCCGAACCTGGCGCAGCAGTCCCATCCTCTCGAGACGATTGACAATTTCGTCGCGAGCCTCGAAGCGCAGCTTGCCCTCGAACCCTGCAAAGGTGTCTAGAATGAGTCCGCCCTTGGTGAAGACCTGGCGAGGCTCCAGCTTGTGTCGTGCTGCCAGCTCAAAATCAAACTTGTCGTGGGCCGGCGTGATCTTGACAGCCCCCGTGCCAACGTCCCTGTCCACGGCGAGGTCGAAGACGAGGGGAATCGTGTCGTTGCGAAAGGGATGCTTCAGTTGAACTGCATCCTTATTGCGATACTTGCTGTAGCGGGGATCGAGTGGGTGGACGGCCACGGCCACGTCGCCCAGCAATGTCTCTGGCCTGGTGGTGGACACCACAATCTCCTCGGCAGAGCCATCCGGCTGTGTTTCACCATCCACAACGGTGTACGCAATGTCAAAAATTCTGCCAAAGAGGACGCTCTGCTTGTAGCCTGGAACACGCACAGCGGTGGGCTCCTTAATGTCCACCACTTCCACCTCGATGTCCGAGATGGCCGACTGCAGTGTGGTGGACCAATTGACGATGGAATTGCGCCGCTTGATGAGGCCCTCATCGAAGAGTCGCTCGAAGGACACATTGACGGCATTTGCCTGCTGTTCGTCCATGGTGAAGTACTCGCGCGCCCAGTTGAGGCTGCAGCCCAACAGGCGCAGGTCCTGCACGATGCCAGCACCCTTTGCCGCCTTCCACTTCCATACCTCTCCCAGAAAGGCCTCCCGTCCGATGTCATGGCGCGTCTTGCCCCCGCCAGTTGTGAGTGTGCGTTCCACCACCACCTGAGTGGCTATGCCGGCATGATCGGTGCCTGGCACCCAGTCCACGTCGTAGCCAAGCTGCCGCCGCTGGCGCGCTATCACATCCTGCACAGTGGCCATCAGAGCGTGTCCCAGGTGCAGATTCCCCGTCACATTTGGCGGTGGCAGCAACATGCGGTAGGGTCCACGCTTGCAGCGATTGCCCGCCTGGGGCAGATTCGCTTGCTCCTTGTCACGCTCCCAATAGGCCTGTTCGACCTGTTTGGGCTGGTACCCCGCCGCCAAGTGCACTTTTGTGTCGGCATCTGCAATGGAACGAATGGAGCAGCTTAGCCGGCGGACGATTATTCAATGAAAGTGGCCATTGCTTACCCTTTACTGTGCTGTAGTATAGTGTGGACAGCCGTGGCTGGTACAGGTACCGCCGCTGAAGAACTTTACAAGTTAAATTCTGAATATATTTCATGATTTTAGTTATTTGTTATGTCAAAAAATAAAAAACGGCTGAACGGCCAGTGTTGTCAAGTGAAGTTAGTCACCAACAGCTGCTCTGTTCGATTTGAATAGAATACAACCCTACGCCTGCGTTGGCAAGAAGAAGATAATTGACGTGTCACAATTTTTACAATTTGGTTGGTGTTTTTCTTGAAATTTATAGTTGAGCGGGGCCTACGTGGTGCATAAACTGATTAATGTTGGAATAGATGTGCTAATACTTGTATATTTTGATACAGGAGAGTGCCCGGAACTTGATTGAAGCGGGTACATACGTAAAACGAAAGCCGACACGGAGTAACACAAATCGAGAAGAAGTATCTCTTCACTGTGACGTGACACAGTAAAAACTGCCAACATGTTGACCAATTTCGAGTCAAAGTCGGCGCGAGTGAAGGGACTCTCGTTTCATCCCAAACGTCCCTGGATTCTGACCAGTTTGCACAGCGGTGTCATCCAGCTGTGGGACTACCGCATGCACACGCTTCTGGAAAAGTTCGACGAGCACGATGGCCCTGTGCGCAGCGTGGCCTTCCACCAGCAGATGCCCCTCTTCGTCTCCGGCGGCGATGACTACAAGATCAAGGTGTGGAACTACAAGCAGCGTCGCTGCATTTTCACGCTGCTGGCGCATTTGGACTACGTGCGCACTGTGGCCTTCCACCATGAATATCCGTGGATTCTGAGCGCCTCCGATGATCAGACCATTCGCATCTGGAACTGGCAGTCGCGCAACTGCATCTGCGTGCTGACGGGCCACAACCACTATGTGATGTGTGCCCAGTTCCATTCCACGGAAGATCAGATTGTGTCCGCCTCGCTGGATCAGACGGTGCGCGTCTGGGACATTTCGGGATTGCGCAAGAAGAATGTGGCTCCCGGTCCGGGCGGATTGGATGATCATCTGAAGGGTAATCCCGGAGCCACCGATCTGTTCGGCCAGGCCGATGCCGTGGTCAAGCATGTGCTCGAGGGACACGATCGTGGCGTCAATTGGGCCAGTTTCCATCCCACTCTCCCGCTGATTGTGTCGGGCGCTGACGATCGTCTGGTGAAGCTCTGGCGCATGAACGAGTACAAGGCCTGGGAGGTGGACACGTGCCGTGGCCACTACAACAATGTGTCCAGCGTGCTGTTCCATCCCCGACAGGATTTGATCATCTCGAACGGCGAGGATCGCAGCATTCGCGTCTGGGACATGACCAAGCGTCAGTGTCTCTTCACATTCCGGCGGGACAACGAGCGCTTCTGGATTCTGACAGCACATCCCACACTCAATCTATTTGCAGCCGGTCACGATGGCGGTAAGAGACTTTGTTTTCCCCTCTATAAGGATTACGAATTTATCACTTTTTTCTATTTTGTGTTCGTTTCAGGCATGGTTGTCTTTAAGCTGGAGCGGGAGCGTCCCGCCTATGCTGTGCATGGCAACATGCTGTACTACGTGAAGGATCGCTACCTGCGCAAACTAGACTTCACCACCACCAAGGACGCTGTGGTGATGCAGCTGCGTCCGGGCAAGTCGCCCGTGTACAGCATGTCCTACAATCCGGCCCTGAATGCCGTGCTCATCTGCACGCGCACCAATAACCTGGAGAACAGCACCTACGACCTGTGCCAGATACCCAAGGACACCGAGAGCCAGAACGAGTCCGACAGCAAGCGCAGCTCGGGCATCACGGCCATTTGGGTGGCACGCAACCGCTTTGCCGTGCTGGATCGCAACCAGCAGCTGGTGATCAAGAACTTCAAGAACGAGGTGACCAAGAAGATACCCACCTTCTGCGAGGAGATCTTCTACGCCGGCACGGGCATGCTGCTCATCCGGGATCCCGAGTTTGTCACCCTCTACGAGGTGCAGCGCCTCGTCTCCGTCGGCAGCATCAAGCTGGCCAAGTGCCGCTATGTTGTCTGGTCGCCAGACATGTCCCTGGTGGCGCTACTCTGCAAGCACTCGGTCACCATCTGCGACCGCCGGCTGCAGTATCTGTGCACCGTGCAGGAGAACTGTCGTGTCAAGTCCGGTGCGTGGGACGAGTCCGGCGTGTTCATCTACACCACGAGCAACCACATCAAGTATGCCATCACCAACGGGGATCACGGCATCATTCGCACCCTCGACCTGCCCATCTATCTGACGCGCGTCAAGGGCAATCAGGTGTTCTGCCTGGATCGCGAGTGCCGCACCCGCGTCCTCACCATCGATCCCACGGAATACAAGTTCAAGCTGGCACTCATCCAGCGCAAATACGACGAGGTCCTGCATATGGTGCGCAACGCTCGCCTGGTGGGCCAGAGCATCATTGCCTATCTGCAGCAGAAGGGCTATCCGGAGGTGGCCCTGCACTTTGTCAAGGACGAGAAGACGCGCTTTGGCCTGGCCCTAGAGTGCGGCAATATTGAGATTGCTCTGGAGGCGGCCAAGGCCCTGGACGACAAGGATTGCTGGAATCGCCTTGGCCAGAGTGCACTGCTGCAGGGCAACCACCAGGTGGTCGAGATGTGCTACCAGCGCACCAAGAACTTTGACAAGCTCAGCTTCCTCTACCTGATCACAGGCAACCTGGAGAAGCTCAAGAAGATGATTAAGATCGCCGAGATCCGCAAGGATATCTCGGCCCAGTACCAGGGCGCCCTGGTCCTTGGGGACTTCAAGGAGCGGGTGAGCATTCTCAAGAACTGCGGCCTCACCTCCATGGCCTATCTGACAGCAGCCACACATGGCCTCGATGAGCTCTCCGAGTCGCTGGCCGAGACCATCACCGCCCAGGGCGACACTCTGCCCGAGGTTAATCCCAATGCCACGCTGCTGAAGCCACCGGTGCCCATCCAGCAACTGGAGACAAACTGGCCGCTTCTGTCCGTGTCCAAGGGCTTCTTCGAGGGCGCCATGGTGACGCGGGCTGGCAACAGCGCCACTGCCCGCCAGGCACTCAACATCAATGCCGACGCAGCGGTGCTGGAGGAGCATAATGGTGGCGGCGATGGCTGGGGAGCAGATGCCGATCTGGGACTGGACGAGGACGGCGATGATGAGATGCACGATGCCCTCAGCAGTGACGAGCTGCCCGGAGGTGCTGGCGGCGAGGATGGAGCCGGCTGGGATGTGGGCGATGACGATCTGGTCGTTCCCGAGGAGCTGGCCTCCAAGATAAAGGCCTCGGCGCTGGACAGCAACTACTATGCGGCCCCCAACAAGGGGTTGTCCCCAGCTCAGCAGTGGGCCAACAACTCGCCACTCGTGCTGGATCACGTAAAGGCCGGAGCCTTCGAGAGCGCCTTCCGCCTGCTCAACGATCAGCTGGGAGTGGTCAACTTCAAGCCTTTCAAGACCCTCTTCCTGCAGAACTACGCCTGCTCGCGCACCAGCTACACGGCCAATCCCAATCTGCAATCCCTGAGCGGCTATCCGCTGCGCAACTTCTCCGAGACGAATGCGAAGCTCCAGCGTCCGGCGATGGGCATCAAGCTGAACGATCTGGTGTCCCGCCTGCAGGCTGGCTACCAGATGACCACATCCGGCAAGTTCACCGAGGCCATCGAGAAGTTCCATTCCATTCTGATCAGTATTCCGCTGCTGGTGGTGGAGACCAAACTGGACACGGCCGAGGCCCAGCAGCTGCTGAAGATCTGCTCCGAGTACATTGTCGGCCTCAAGATGGAAACGGAGCGCAAAGGCATGCCGAAATCGACGCTGGATGAGCAGAAGCGCCTCTGCGAGATGGCCGCCTACTTCACCCACTGCAAACTGCAGCCAGTGCATCAGATCCTCACCCTTCGCACCGCCCTCAATATGTACTTCAAGCTGAAGAACTACAAGACAGCGGCTTCGTTCGCCCGCCGTCTGCTGGAGCTGGCCCCCAGGCCGGATGTGGCCCAGCAGGTGCGCAAGATACTGCAGGCATGCGAAATAAATCCCGTGGACGAGCATCAGCTGCAGTACGAGGAGTTCAATCCATTCAACATATGCGGCATCAGCTGGAAGCCACTGTATCGCGGCAAACCGGAGGTGACCTGCCCCTTCTGTGGCTCCTCGTACGATCCGCAATACAAGGGTAATCTCTGCAACGTGTGCGAGGTCAGCCAGATAGGCAAGGATAGCATCGGACTGCGCATTTCCAATCTGCAGTTCCGCTAGGGCGAGCGAGCGACAATTTCGCTGCTTTTTATTGCCAATTGATTTGTGCTTTCCCCTACGCCTAGCGAGACCACTTACATACCCGTTTAATAATCCTCTTAGCCTAGTTTTACACGATACACGCATATGCATATATATATAAAGTGTCATTAATTATTGTATATTATAAAATGGTATTCAAACAAAACAAAAGACGTCTTTCGTTTTCTCTTCGTCACACCAGATGGGACGACACTGCGTCACAGACTAACTCTACATACTCAAGCATTAATCATGCGCATCTTGATTAGTTATGTGGGTTATATTTATAGTTGTAAGAGTAGCTACACATACGACACTAAATTCACATTAAATTATAATGTGTAATACCATAGAAGCATACGATACGTAAAGTAAGCATTAATTAGAGCTAAAACTAATCTAGAGAGCATATATGTATTGGAGCATGCCTATCCCATCCCACATAGTCGTATCCAGTAGAGGGCGAGGCGGAGCATTTTTCAGTTGTCCATAAAATATTGAGTATTTGAAAATTGAGTCTCTTGCTGCTGATGCTGCTGCTGCTGTTCGTGGTCGTGATCGTGTTGCAGGGACGGCGCTGGTGCCGTCCACAGGTCCAACTAACGTCGCCACATGCTGGCGCCCACACCAATGCCGCCGGAGGCGACACCCCGGCGCACAGCCTCCATCTCGTCCTGCCGATTGTCGCGATAGGCACGCTTGGTGTCCTCGAATTCCCGTAGCCGCTGGTTGTAGCGATCGATCTGGTCGCGCAAAATCGCATCCTCGTGCATGGCACGCCGTTCGTCGTACTCCAGGCAGCCCACGCCATCGAGACGCTCCAGGTCCAGCCAGCCACGGAAACGCACACACACGCCGTTCATTATAAAGTAGGATTTGATGTGCACTTTGCCGTGCTCCTTGTCAAAGTCGCACTCCTTGTCGTGCAGATAGGGATTCTGGTTGGCGTTGAACACCAGCTGCAGGTTTGTGCCCGAGGCCACAAAACTCGACTCCGTGTGTCCCTCGCGACAGCCGTTCATGAAGCGCACCTGGCGCTCCTCGATGCTTCGCTCGCGGTAGCCCGTGTACCGGATCTCGCTCTCGCGGCTGAGCCGTCGGAACAGCTCGTCGCTCTCGAACTTGGACTTCTGGTCGGGCACCACGCGTGGCATCTTGAAGATAAAACGGGGCTTCGGCTGCTCATAGAGTCCAATTGTGTCGTACGGAATCATGTTGGCCAGAGCTGCCTCGTTCATCATTTTGAAGACGTTTCACTTGGCGTTCGTTCACTTAAAAGCGCACAGAAAAATCGCGTTACCTTCGCAGGTTCCCAATAATTTCGCGCTACAATGCGTTAATTTGTTAAACTATTTCGCTGCGGGCGCAGAAAACAACGCACAATACAACAAAAAGTTTTGGTTTGCGGTTTTGATATACCAACTGATACGCTGCGGGCGCAGTAGAGGCGTCAAACAATCGATAGTATCGATATATTACAGCCAGCCTCTACTATCGACGGTTTTGCGACTATCATGATAGTATCGAGCTACAGTCGTTGTGCTTTTGATATGTTTGGATTGGCTGGTATAAAATACGAAGACACATTTGTAAACAAATCGACAGGTGGCATCTAATTTTTACAATGGACAAGTTCCTAAAAGGTTCCAATGGTTTTTTAATAAAATTTTTGAGCCCGATACTATCACGATAGTATCGATTGTTTTTTTCAAAACGTTCAACGTTGATATTCCTCGAATTTGATATTCCGTTTAATATTACTAGCTAGCTGGGACTCTCAGCCCTAAACAAATAATTTTATCCGATAGATACATAAATTTTCTAAAAGATTGGCAAGTTTTCAGAAGTCAGAAGTTTATTGGATTATTTACATATTAAGGTTCAAACAAAAACAACATAAAACGAATGTGACGTCGTTTTGTGGCGTTGCCAGACTCGTGCAATTCGTAGTTGCTGCTAGCTGCCATACTATGATATTTTGTGATATGAAATTCGTCAATTTTGATATTCAGTTTAATATTACTTGATAGTTGGCCCTCTCAGCCCTGAACAAATAATTTTATCCAATTCCTCAATGAATTTTGTTCAGGATTGGGTAGTTTTCAGAACTCTTTTTCATTGGATTTTTTACATAATAAGGTTCAAACAAAAGCGGCCAAAGTATAAAACGTAAATTTTGACTAAATGTTTCTTCTATACGTATGTACTTTTGTATACCTTATTTCTTTGGCATCCTTCCTCAACATATGTTACACTAGAAACTATCGAGTTTTCGCACCAAATTGTATAAATTTCTATTATCAAACTATAAAACTGTCTGCAATAGAAATATTAAACTTGTTTGGTGAAAACTGTTTATTTCGTTTGAAATATGGCGGTCAATATACTGTTAATATAATGAATTTAAATTTGGGCCAGCTCTCGATAGTGCGGAAATTTCTGATGAAGAGTTGGCAGCACTGACCACAACGCGGCTGTTGCCTTGTTTACATTTTTTTATACCTGGCTTTTGGATAGTTAAGTAAACCTTCGATTTACTGCATAACATGAGCGATACTCCCACTGCTGATGAGTGTGAGAAGCGCCCTCAGTTTGGCACACGTCTGCTCAAGGACAGCGACGACGTCTTTAAGCACAATGCTTGGTAAATATGCGTGGAAAGGTCTACGGTGTTTTGCCAGCAAAACTTGGGAACACACGCGCCAGCGCAAGAAGCCAGCAGGTGCTGGCGGGCGCATACTAACAGACGCGCGCGAGGTGTTCGAGTTTAATGCATGGTAGACAATGTCAACTAAATACTCTAAAAGTCGGTCTAAAATGTGCTCTCCAGGGACCACGTGCAATGGGACGAGGAGCAGGAGCTGGCCGCACAGGAGGCAGTTGCCAAGAACTCGTCCAGCAAGCTGAACGACGATGAGCGGGAGCGCTTTCAGTCGGATGCGCCCAAGTTCTGGGACTCTTTCTATGGCATACACGACAATCGGTTCTTCAAGGACCGTCACTGGCTTTTCACCGAGTTTCCCGAGTTGGCGCCCCTGGACGCCAATGAGCAGCAGTCGCGGAGCGTGTTCGAGATTGGCTGTGGCGTCGGCAACACCATCTTACCCCTGCTGCAGTACAGCGTGGAGCCGAAGCTAAAAGTCTTTGGGTGTGACTTCTCCGCCAGGGCCATCGATATACTTCGCAGCCAGCCGCAGTTCGATGCGAAACGCTGCGAAGTATTCGTAATGGATGCCACGGATGAGCAGTGGAAAGTTCCCTTCGAGGAGAGCTCGCAGGATATCATTGTGATGATATTTGTGCTGTCCGCCTGCCAGCCAAAGAAAATGCAGCAGATACTGGACAATTGCTATCGTTACCTCCGACCCGGTGGCCTGCTCCTCTTCAGGGACTATGGCCGCTACGACCTGGCCCAGCTGCGCTTCAAGAGTGGCAAGTGCCTGGAGGACAATTTCTATGTGCGCGGCGATGGCACCTTGGTTTATTTCTTTACAGAGCCAGAGCTACGTGGCATGTTGACCAAAGCGGGCCTGCAGGAGGAACAGGTGATTGTGGACCGAAGGCTGCAGGTAAATCGGAGTCGCGGCCTCAAGATGTATCGCGTTTGGATCCAGGCAAAGTTCAAAAAACCTCTGGCTGCGCGTTCAAATTCGTAGCCTTCTAATCGTTATCGTTCCTGTTCTCGACATGTAAAATGTGCGGCTCTGTTAAGTTTGCAGCAAAGCTTTTGGGGGTCTGTTAACTTTGCAGGATCTGCAGAAGCATACACATAACATAACAGTTAGGAAAGCTGCAAGTTTTCGCAGTTGGCTAAAAACGTCGTAAGTGAAAATTTTCCCTGTGCTACGTAAAATAATTTTAAGTTAAAAAATTAAGGCATAATTTCCTGTAAACTTGTGCTGCCAGGGCCAATTAAAAGTGCTTGCCACACAAAGTGCTAGAATTCGTAATCGAAAAACATAAAGAATGCGACTAAAAAGCCTTTCGAGTGAAAGCCAAAACCATTACCGTGTAGAATTTCATTGATTTTTTCCCCCAAGCCAAGCCAAGTGCCTAGTTGGGAACTTGCGAATATTTTTAGGGTCCGTCCTCCACACGCGAAGATATATTTTGTGTGCAGAAATATTTCCAGACTGCCCCAGGGGGTATGCAACAGAAAGGTGCACCAAGTGCAGCTAAGCACACATCCGCATCTACACAGAGGCAGAGAGAGAACCGTGGGCGTGTGGCTCTACTACTTATCCCTTACTCGTAGAAATACTCAATTCGTAATCCAAATATAAGACTAAAAATAGTTGCAACTATTTTTACACTCTTCCCACCCCACAGTTTCAGTCTCGCCGAGCCAGAAGATCCCTCTGAGGCGCTGTCGTGGCAAGCAAGTGTTACCCACACACTCAACATACACACACACTCACACACGCATCTAGCCAATACCCCCGCAACCGCTGAGGCGAGCCCGAGAGGAGTGAAAATTCATTGACGATTGGGGGCGACAAAAGCTCAGGCAAAAGAGAGAGACGGAGAGAGAGAGCAAGCTAGTGAGCGAGAGAAAGAGCGCGAGAGAAACCTCGACAACAAAAACAACGAAACAGAGTTCTGCTGCACCCAACACCACCCACCACCACCGCCGTCGCCATCAGCACATCTGCGCTGCCACTACCGTCACCCGCGAAACGACCCTCCCCGACCTCGTTCGACGCTCCCAAACGTGAAAGACGTTGGCCAAGTGCATACAAATCCACGGGAACCACAATCAGTCGCAGTTACAGTCAAACCGAATTTTGTTAATACATCAGCGTCTGCAACAACTACCAAAACAACAACAACCACAGAGCAATGTAAGTGGATGGACACATTATTGATTTGTCTGGGATATTTGGGGGGGAATCCTACGCGTACTTGTCTCGTTTTACGCACTTGGGGGAATTGCTCATTTATTGCCCACACATTAAGTATACGCAGCATGGGCCCAGCATTTCATTTGTCCAGCTGCACCAGCCATGAATCACTCTCAATGGTCGAGAGAGAGCGAGAGCTCCTTTGGTCCGGCAATAGGCGATGACGCTGCCGCATCACATGGCATTCACACGCCGTAAAATCAATAAATTTGACTACGTTTCGCCTGAGCCGTGAGTCAGGGGCTCCATGCAAAGTAAATTAATTGTCCAAAAGGGAACGCAAATAATGCCGGGTGTTCCGGCCATCGATTTATTTTGCCTTTAACAATGTAGTTTTAGTTCATCAAACTGGCGAAATAGCGCAGTTCCATTTCCAACTGAATATTTAACTATGTATTTCCTTAACTTTGGCCCTCAACAGAAAACCAGAGACCGCAGTTGAGTTCTCTCAGTTTTTTTTGGGGGTCTGCGATGGGCAAGAAAGACAAGAACAAGGAACCGTAAGTGCTGATCTCTGCACTCTACCGAGTAGCCGGCTAGATTATGTACTCTCCAGCACTCTCTCTGTGTATAGCACACACGTATCTGTATCTGTCGAGATATTTTTTAAAGAAACGCTAGAAATTGTAGTGTCATAGCCATAGCCAAACCCCTACGTCTACCCTAGTGTCCTGCATTTAATTTGAGCGCCCCGTTGGGAGTTGATTAGTCTTTGGTATTTGCCTTCTTTATGCGCTCGTTGGTGACTAATGATGGTTCCCTGCAGGGCGGACGCTGCACCAGCTGGCGATGCACCACCTGCTGGACCCCCAGCAGGCGAGGGAGGCGATGGCGAGATTGTGGGCGGACCACACAATCCGCAGCAGATTGCGGCACAGAAGCGTCTCCAGCAGACGCAGGCGCAGGTTGATGAGGTGAGTGAAATACAAATTAATCGATACACTGAAGAACCAGTTATATGGAAGACTCTTCTGATCTACTCTTGTACCCGTTTAGGTCGTCGACATCATGCGCACAAACGTCGAGAAGGTGCTGGAGCGCGATAGCAAGCTGTCGGAGTTGGACGATCGTGCCGATGCCTTGCAGCAGGGTGCCTCGCAGTTCGAGCAGCAGGCGGGCAAGCTTAAGAGGAAATTCTGGCTCCAGAACTTGAAGGTCCTTGAACTTCCTTGAAGCAGCCACGTGTGCAGCACTAACCAATTGTTTTTTGCCCCCCCCTTTCAGATGATGATCATAATGGGCGTGATCGGCCTGGTTGTCGTGGGCATCATTGCAAGTAAGTTAATCGTGCGGAAATCCCTAGATCCCTCGATCTGTTCTTCTTACTCACAACATGGGACACACACAACCCCTCCTAGAGATACAATGCCAACCGACACCCGAAACACACCTCAGCCACACACAGAACCTGAGAAACGTTCACATTCTATTGTTTTAATTCTCGTTTGATTTACGCAATTTATTTAGCGCTGATTGCGATTGCCTTCATTTCAATTGATTGATATACGCACACACAGAGAGACTAAATTTAAAATTTGTTTGTTTTTAATTCCGCCACCTCTTTTTTTTCTCTAGGTAACTTTATGTAGATTGCTAACTATCTAATCCATAAGATAAAACTAGTTACTTAGCTGCGCAATGCATCATCCGCAACTGCAAATGCAAGCGCAAAACGCAAATCAAAATCAATCAATCAATCAACCCAATATGATCCGAAACCGATACCAAATTCAATCCCATTTAACAACTGCCATGAGTAGAGCTAAAACTCACAGTCCAACTGTTGTACGTTTGATGATTTGATCGCTCGCTCGCTCAACCGATTCGAATTTGATGCCTTGCGAAATTTCCACACGAAACCAAAAAAAATAAAAACAAAACCAAAGATCGATCGATCAGTCAATTGCATCCATATCATGTGCTTCAACATCCACTAAAAACAGTAACTACATATAAATATATAGTAAGCAAATATATTTATGTATCTGATCAGTGTGTATATCCAAAGTCCAACATCATCTGGTTCCATACGACCAACATACGCACCAGGTTCGGTAATGATAATTAATGATTTGATTTGATTTGATGCCAACTGAAAGTCGTGTCGTACGTTGTTATCTGTCTGTTCTTTTCCTTTCCTATCCTGTAATAGTTTTGTGCTCACATACACATAGATATCGTATCGCCAGTGCCAGTACCCATGTGCATTGCTCTTGATGTCTGCCCAGCAACATACACAAGAGGCAGTTGCACAGGTTATGGCATTGGCTGATTCGATATTCAATGGGTAAACGTCGTTAGCGTTATCCGTAGGACCTTAAGTTCTGTGTGTTCGACTAGTTAGCGTTAAAACCCGTAAGCCGTAATCATTTTGTGGTTTGTTCCGTCTTTCCTTTACAGTTTACAGTCTTTTCGTTTCGTTTCTTTTTGTTCTGTTCTGTTCTGTTCGGATATTGGCGCTCCACAAACTCTTCAGCGGCACAAGCACTGTGCCTTTGTCCTGTGTAAAATATACTTGTAGCCAGCCAATACTCAACCCCAAAGTAAACGTAGATCGCTCTCTAAGAAAACAAACGCAAAGGCCATCAAATCGAAGAGTGATTAATCCCCAACCACTTTTACTTGTAGCTGTGCCACAGCAAATGCATAAAGTATTGCAATCTTGTATGAGTTCTTAATATGATTTAAAAAGTGTTTTCTGATTTCCACAATACACACACACACACACACACCCATGGACACCTGACCTGATATACATATGTATGTATGTACATACGATGCCACTGATACACAAAAATATTTTTGAAACAATTACAGAGAAAGACGAGAAAGAGTAATACAATACACTGACAACATTAGCCTTTGCAAACTTTTGTTAACCATAAGAAATACAGTTATTCAAAAGAGTTTTTCCCAAAAAAAAAAAAAAAACAAAAAAAAAACATTATTTGTGAGGTAAAAAGATCTGCAAAACTCTTTCCGTTACTCATCCGCAAATCTTATTGCTAGGTGCACCCGACATTTCTCTCTCTCTCTCTCTCTCTCTTTGTGTCCTTTAACTTATGTATCCTTCCTCTTCGTTTCACAAACAATTTAAAACTGAGAGTTTTAATTTTGATTTGATTCCGTTTTGTCCACTAATTGTATCGCTTGTATCGAAATAGAAAAGAAAAAAAACCAAAAAACAAATGCAATTCACGTACAACAAATTTCTCGTAGAACCGTACATGTCGGATGATGCTGCTGCTCCGCCACCTCCTGCTTTGCAGCAGCAGGTGGTTCCGGCACCAGCATCCGCACCAGCATCTGCACCAGAATCAGCACTACCACAACAACAACAACAACTACTACAACAACAACAACACCATACACAAAAATCTGAACCACCAACACTCGAGAAACCATTGGCTGAGAAATTGACCGACAACCCACAGAGTCCGTCGGATTAAGTGGCGACTGGACAATAGGACGATCTCTCTTAAAACCAACTTGAAAACAACAACAACAAAAAAACAGCAACAACTGCAACAAACTAATCAACCAATCAATCAATCAATCAACCCATCGATTAACCAACAACAACTACATTTATAGAAACTATAATCAAAATTAGCTGAAAACAAACAAAAAAGAAACAAGCAAAAAGCAAAAACCATTTCACCACCACCTTCTTTGTAGTATTTTCGAACACTGTAAGCAAACAACAACAACTGCAAAAGCAACAACTTTAATCTGTGCTTCTTCTTACACCCATTTCTGTTTCCGTTTCCGCTGTCCTGTCTTCTTTTACCGTTGTCCCAGTTAACCATTTTATTTATAATTTTAGCTGCATGTTCGTGCAATGTTTGTGTGTGTTTTGATGTCTACGTGTGCTTAGTACGAGTATCCTTATGGTTCTATAATTTGTTTCTTTTTCGATGTTTTTGATTAAGATTCTGTGTACAAATCTGTTTTGTACATATGTAAATGTATTTTTTGTGCACAAAAATCTTAGCGGAAACTAGGGGGCTATGGGGGATCTAGCCAAGAGTCCTGTCCTATCAGCTGTGAGGGATTGGTTATGGCTTTCTGTGATAACCCATCCGCCTTGAATGTACATATATACTCGTTTGACCGTCGAATTGGATTCCCCACCTGGGCTTTGCATTTGCCCATCCATGTCCCCACCCCACCCATATCCATATGCTACTACTACTCGTATATTCCCCCATCATAACTGAGCTTTTAACCATTGAAGTGTAATATGTTTTGGCGTACTATATCCGTGTATCGGTGTAATTGTCATTCAATTGAGATTGATAAGAGATAAAGCACCCACTCACCTGTTCGGGCCAACCAACTAACTCTCAATTATTTTCTTCTATTGCCCCGACCTGCCCACAGATAAACTAGGACTCATAGGCGGAGAGCAGCCACCGCAGTATCCTCAGTATCCACAGTACATGCCGCCACCGCCGCCACAGCAGCAGCAGCCAGCCGCCGCCGGAGGACAATCGGCGCTGGTCGATGGAGGACACGGCACCGGGGCCGGTGCCGGGGCCAATCCGGAGCATGGCGGCGCATAAGTAATTCTGGACGGCATTTACCTGTAAAGCCAAGCAAAAGAACGTTTCTTGATTACACAAAAATATAATCTGCAAGACCCCGAAACCCAAAAAAAGCCCAAAGGAAAACTCAGTTATACTAGAAAAATCTCGAGAATTGCAAAGAAGTCAATAATAATTTCCACTTCAAAGACGAAGAACACGGAACATGGAATGGTTTTAAGTAAATGCAGTCATAATATTAACACTAAATTTAAAAGACGCTCCGGACAAAAATGAAGTTGTTGCTAATTTGTTTATGGTTACATTATTTCATGCATAAAATGGTATATACATATATAAATATAAATAAATAAAAATATATGGTATTTGAATATTTACGAGTAATTCTAAAAACAAAAAACAACAACAACAACTAGTAAACTATGCTATATATATATATATGTATAACTACGACTATATTGTGCTTAATATATCGGCGCTGGCTGCTGGGGCTGGCAACAAGGAGCGCCAGTGCCAGCTGGAGGACCAGTTCGATGATAGCAGCTCTTTGAACTCAGTTTCCTTAGCAAATCTATGTATTAGTATCGCAACATTTTTCGGAACAAAGCCCAAAAGCCCATAACTCCCGAGAAAGCGTTGTAACACAAGAACGAAACCAAATCTAAGCTTTTGTTCCTAAGTAAAAGTTACGCAAAATATAAATATTTGAAGTGTATAATCCAAAAAAAAAGAAGAAGAGTCGAAATGCCAGAGACAGATAAGCAACAACAAAGTTGGGCGACGCGACAGACAACTATATACTCGTATATATAAACAATTGACAATTGATTAATGTATTGTATTCATAAAAACAAAAACTTACTGTGCAACAAACCAAAAAATATTGAGAAGCAAATGGTAGCAGAAAATGAACAAAAACCAAAGAAAAGAAAATAAAGGAAAGGGATATGAAATGATACTAGTGAAAATATACAAAAAAAAAAGCAAAACAAAACCAAAGAATTGATTAGTTTGCAGTTATATGTTTTCTATTAGTTATTGTTGTGTTTGAAATAAAAGGAGACAAGATCGAGAATCGAGAGGGATTCGGTTGAAAAATTAAACCAGACAGTTCAACGATTAAATTAAGCGCTAGACACACAATATGTTGGTTATGATCAGTTTTATTTTGACAAGCAGCAGTCAAGACAGACAGAAGCATATGTATGTATATTTCAATGTTATAAGTAATTAAAAACGAGAGGATACATAGAGCCTATATAAATGGGTACATATATATGTGTGTATGTGTAACGTGTAACGATATATGATATTTAGATCTCACAAACTTCCACTCCACCTCCACTTCCACCTCCACTCCACCACACCCCACCCAGCCCCAAAAGCAACCTCAGACTCCATTCCGATCGAGTAGTAGTAACCAACTTTGAGACAACATTCTTAGCACATATTGTACTTACCTTGTTCTAAAAATACAAACGTATTTTAACAATTAATGTATTAACTTATTAATTGATTCAACAAGCGCCTGCCCAAAGTGCTTTGCCTACTAACAAAAAATGAGGCACCAACAAAATCGAAAAAAAAACTACTAAAAGAATAAAATATAAACGAAAACAAAAACAAAATCAAGAAAACTAAAAGAAAAACAAAAACTACAAAAAAAAGAAAAAATGGGAAAATACGGGGAAAAAAAGAAAATCTAAGACCCATGTGCAGGTATTTTTAGCAATATTCGTAGCGTGTACAATATGTCGCCCTTAAAGCTTAATCAAATCTCGTTCAATGTGTCCATTACTGCAATAAAATTTCACCCAAAACAAACACCAACACACACACACACACATAAACACACCTTTCACATGCATATAACCATTACCAACTACGGAATCAATATAATAATCAATGACACAAATCTTTAGAAAGCGTTTTGGTTTTTGTTTGGATTTTAACCAGAAAAGCAAGCGAACACACACACTTGACACTTGACAGACAGACAGAAGGGAGAAAATCGACAGAGTATCGGGTATACCCCGAACTCTCCCAATTGAGTGGCACAACAGAGCAATCAGAATGTGAGATGAGATGGATAGAGAGAGGACAAGCGAAACATACTACAAACAAAAAGAAAAGAAAAACCCAACCAAACCACAGATGGAAAATGAGAGTAAATATATATATATATATATGAACCGTATATAAACAATAATATTACTAATTAATTTAATGATTAATTGCACCCCGAAAATACATAATTATTTAAATAAATAAATAAATAAAACCAAACCACAAGGTCTTTTATACTGCTAGATTTAAGGGAAAAGGAAGGGCATTGATATTGGATAAGTCTGATTAACAAATTCAGACATAGTATAAAACCATGGAGAGACGCAATTTTGATATATCGGTAGGTTGTTACTTCTGTTATCTGGATAGGAGACGGCTCTAAATCTCGTGTAACCTCTAAGATCGAGACGTTCATACAGAAGTCTATAAAACTCATGTTTTAATGGCTATTAAGATATTCGTAATATTAAAATTAGGATATGCTTTGTTCTGGGTAAAAATAGAATTTGGCGAAAAGTATAGCATATCTTTGAGCGCCGTAATGGCAGCCAGTTGCGCACTTGACAACAGAATAGAAGGATAGGAAGGATACTTCTCAGTAGTCGGGCACACGTGGGTGCATACATAAATAACAATTGGAACAAAGACATCAGAGCCACACGCACGAGGTGGCTAGAAATTATGGATAATGGAAATAAACCCGAGTCTGTGCTGCGACGCATAGATTTAAATCAGCCGAGAAGGGCATACGGATATTGGTGGGAGAACGGAATGGAAGGAGGAGTCTGAGGCGCCTGTTTATTATGCTTGCCACACCTGATTAAAATCTATTGACAATGCAGTCGACGACAAAATTGGAGCAGCACTAACAAGGGCCTCACCACAAAGGAAGCGGAAATGTTGAGCACCTTGCCGGCCGAACCCGCCCCGACCTCTCTACCCCCTTTTATGTCCCAGTTGCCCCACCGGCACTTAATGAAACCCAATTACCGTCGCCGTCCGTTAGCCAAATCCTGGAGGCGGATGGCAAACAGTAACAGCTGCAGAGAGTCGTCAAGTCGAAGGCCCAGCTGCTGGGGCTGCTCCACCTGTAAACGTTATTTGCATTTTTTCTGCGATTTCAATACCCAGTAAAATGAGGGTAGATATATTATAGGTGTTGGATATATGTCAACCAGTTACCGAAGGCTGGAAGCTGAAATTCAAAATTATAGAATAATTTCCAGTATCCGTTTTGCTCAAGCGCTTTCCTGGGTATCTTCCAGTCGAGACAAACGACAGAGGTTTATCGACTTGTTTATTATTATTAACTTCGTTGCCATTTCCTGGCAAGGACATGCGCAAACATACCCCTGTGCCAACCGCCCCCACAGCCACCCACACGACTATCATCCCCCATCTCCGACTGCACTGAGAGGGATACGACCACGACGACCAGTATCTCTGGCCGTGTATAAATAAGGCGCAACCTTCGCGCACAGCCTCAGTTGGTGGACCGTGTTGCTCCGTGTGTCCCTTTTCCTCAGTTGCTCCCAGGCGTGAATCGAGATTGTGCCCGTTGCAGCTGCCCAACTGTTGCAAGGCGTAGGAGTGGCAGTGCCTTGTACTTGATTTAAAAGTTCAAGAAACTAATTTATAGATCACATCCCGGAAAGTATATGCGCTAGCCAAACTGATGGTTTGCAGTGGTTTCTGCTATAGAAAGGGTCTGCATCGCGAATACAACTAATTATTTCAAGGTGAGTAACATTTTCTGATTATTAAAAACCAAAAGATTTATTTATAAGCTAAAAACCCCTTAAAAACAAACTTAATTACAAAATAATTTAAACTTCGATGCTTATCAACACTGAATACTCCCACGCGTCGTGCAGAGCAGCCCTAATTGAATTATAAGCAGGGTTGCCATGGCGCATTATGTGCAAGTGCATTGTTTTTAGTTTCCCTGCACCCGAGAGAGAGAGAAACTAGACTTGGTGCCAGGCAACAATCATATGGCGAAAATAGCGGTTAAAAGCCACCCCCCCGAAACACGTTGGCCAGGCAGGGCATCCATTCGAAAGGTAAGGCAGGCTCACTGCTCTCTGGTAACGGTAACCGACAGTTGGTTTGCCAATATTTGGCTTCTCGGAGAGCAAAACCCGTTACTATACCCTGCCCTGCGTCGCCAACTAGGCAGCTTTCACTCGGGGGTTGTTGCTGGTTGTCGGTACAAGTCGATTCTGTCCAGTCATTCTGCAAACTTCGGAGCGTACGGTTCTCGAATTCTTTTGTCGGTCGCGTTTCTCTTTTCCCCTCTCGATTTCAGCAATCTTCTCACACACACACAACACACACACACACACACACTCACTCACTGTCACTGATTGCCCCGATTGCCAGTGCAGGGGTCAGAAAGAGCCAGAGACAGAGGCAGAAAAGAAAAGAAAAGCAAAACCAACCTCGGACTTTCGCTCATATAATATAATTCGCAGTGTTCTTGTTATTGTTGTTGCTGCTGTTGTTGGTTTTCCCCTGCTGTTGTGTGTATAACAGTGTATTTGCCGCTGTGTGTGTGTGTTTTTCTCGACATATTCTCTCTTCCCGCCCCGTCTGCGTTTGGCCCACACACGTCACGTCAATTCCCGAGATTGAGCTAACGAGATAAAGGTAACGGAAACGCATTACAATGGCTGAAAACTGTCCCAAGTGCAAGAAATCAATCAACGGGAAGGAGGCCGGGTTCATAATCTGCAACTCGGATGACTGCCGCAAAAAGTTCCACCGCACGTGCGTGAACATTGACGATGCTGTTTACGATGTCATACAGAAGAACCCGAACGTTTCGTTCAACTGTGACGAGTGCAAAAATCAATCGCCACGGGCCCTCTCGTCGAAGCTGCACACCATCGAGGAGAAGGTGAACAAGGTGTGCAATGGCATCAACCAGATCCAGGGGAGGATGTACCAGCAGTACTTCCAGTTCGGCAACCAGCCACCCATGCAGCAGGCCAGCGCTCTGGACACCACCAAGAAGCATCCGCAGCAGAACAATCTCATTGTGGTCGGCAACAACTGCAATTCGGATCGATTGCAGGTCGTCTGCGACTACGGCCGCTGGGTGCAGGTGGGAAAATTCGCGACGAACACCAGCGAGGAGGATGTCATCGACCACCTGGCCGAGGAGCTGAAAATCAACAAGAATCTGGTCAAGTGCACCAAGCTGGTGAAGAACGATGCCAATCTTTCGCAGCTATCCTACTGCAAGTTCAAGATCTCCATTCCCGACTATCGCTTCAACGAGCTCTTCAATGAGGCGATCTGGCCCAGCGGCGTTATGGTCAGTCCCTTCACTCCACGCTCCCAGCTGAATCAGAATCGTCTATAGAGGGAGGGGTACGGCGGCCGGGAGAGTGGTGGTGGTGACACAAGGGTTAGAGTGAAGCCACCGCCGCCGCCACCGAGTGAGAAGTGAGAGAGACCGCCGCCGTATCAGAAAGACAGAGAGTGAGAGAGAGAGAGAGAGACCCGAAAGAGAGCGAGAGTCGGCGCACGGAACTGCATTGAGGCGGCCTGAAAACCCGCAAGGGTTGATTTCCGGTCAGCGATAACAACAACTGCAACCCGTCGTGTCATCCGGCGTGTCGGGTCGGAGTGGGGGAGTGGGGTTGTTGCCCCCATTCTTTGCAAATTTTTGTCTAAATCTTTAAAAGCTTACCGAAACCTATCTAAAAACAAAAAACGAAAAGGAAAACCATAAGCAAATTAATTCAATTAACTTTGAAAATGCATTTTAAAATATTTTAGCGTTGCGTAAATATCGAAAATGAGATAGAAAAACCAAACTAAAAAAAAGTATTTTAATGGCAACTCTCACAGTAAAATAGAATGTGAAGCAAAATATTAGTCATTTATGCATAACTGTCGTACTTAAATTAACGTAAACTCCCCTTCCCTATCAAAACTAAGCGATTTAACTTGAGAATTGAGAACCAGACCAGGCAACCCACACCACACCTCCCCCCCTTTTCATTATCAAAGATTATTTCCTATAAATTATTGTACTACTTCAGAATACGAATATGTATACATAGTGTGTACATATGTATTTCCAAATTGGAATTCTCTACGTACATAATATAGTTTCCACAAGAAAAATCGATAGCAAGTCCTATTCCTCCTATATTGCATGTGTACGGCATCTCTAACCAATTAAGTACTTAACCAAGTAAACAAAAACAAAGTAACCAAAAGTATATTCAAGCAGTCGACGCGATGGCTTATATTGTATTGTATTCGTATATGTATGGTATGGTATGGTAGTTTGAGGCATTTTCAAAGCTTGTTCCCCAACAACAGTTTGGAAATTTTGCGAACCAATGCACAGGACACTGGCAAATTGTAAAACCCCCTATTTAAATTCAGAACAGAAATATATGTATTTGTGTATTCGAAGGTATACTATGCTCGTGTATAAGCAGAAACAGAAATGGAATAGAAAACAAAATACAATAACTTATTCCACACCGGGGGGCTCGCTGGGCTCATTAATGTTTGCTGCGTTCAATAAAAATAAACAGAATTCGATACGAAGCTGGGCAAATTTGTTGCAATATTTACTCAAGAGTCAAGAGTGAAGAATGAGTGTAATTGATATATTTTTTTACGCGAACCCGTTTCGCTCCAAAACAGCAATATTTTCAATGGCCAACGCTCGCGTCATGCCCATCCAATCTTGCATTTTCCATCTTCCCATCTGATGCGAAAATGGGAAATGGTTGACCGAGGGGGCAGACGTGCAGCCGTGCTGTGGTCCACACCCAATAAAGTTCAGAACAAACCGTAGATAATTATGCAAAAATCAGCAAACGAAATGTAAACACACACACACACACACATATATTATATATTTAGTATACAACCAATATGCATGCATGTATTTATGTCAACTTTTTCAAATAAATTCTAAAGAAAAAACACCCTAAAACCAGCAGAATGTTTGCATTTGTGGGGATGTCCTGTACCTGTTTCATCCTCTGTATAATAATTTAAGCCCCATGTTTTCAGGATAAACCATGGCCAACTCCAAGCGAAAGCTACCCACAAAATCCAGTGCACCGGATATCAACCCCACAGCACAGGATAAGCCTCCTACCAGAGAGATCCTCACCATAGACGATGTAAATCAGGGTTCATACATGGGCAACTTCTTCAAGGAATGCCTCGGCTATGAGCCGAGTAACTTTAGCAGTCTTACCAACTTCACCACGTGGCTGCAGCGACCTGTGGATGGTGCCGCCTTAGGCGTCTTCCGACTGCTCTTTGGAGCGGCCATGCTGGTGGACATTGCCGAGGAGCGGGGCGGTGGCCAGCTGGATGTGCGCTTTGGCGAGCCTCATCACTGTCACTTTCCGCTCTTCACTGGCATGCGGGCCCTGGCCTATCCACTGATGGGATGCGTCTATCTGTGCATGTGGCTGGGCGCGTGGGGCATCCTGCTGGGCTATCAGTTTCGTTCCAGCTGCCTGGCTTTCATAGTGCCCTACTGGTACATCTTTCTGCTGGACAAGCCCACTTGGAATAACCACAGCTATCTGTTCGGGCTGGTGGGCACGCTGCTGCTGTTTACCCAGGCGGATAGCTACTGGTCTGCACTAGAGCATAAATATATCCATTCCCGATCTTCAGTTTAACTTGAATTTCAACTTACAGTTCGCTGGAGAGTTGGCTGAACCCTGGAAGGAGTCGAGGTCGTACCGTTCCCTACTGGAACTACTTTCTGATCAAGTTTCAGTTCTTCATTCTGTACATGTACGCCGGCCTGAAGAAGATCTCGGCGGAGTGGCTCTCCGGCTATGCCATGAGCAATCTCAGCCAGCACTGGGTGTTTGCTCCCTTCCGCCAGATGCTGGATCCGGAGCTGATCGATCTGCTGATTGTGCACTGGTTTACGGCCTTCTTTGATGTCTCCATTGCCTTCTTCATGACCATCGAGAAGACGCGGCTGCTGGTCACTCCATTCATGCTCAGCTTCCATCTGATGAACTCCCGCCTGTTCATCATAGGTAAAGTCAACCATAGGAATGACTAATTACGGATCGTGAAATTACCTCTAATTCCAGGCATGTTCCCCTGGGTATGCCTGGCCGAAGTTCCTCTCTTTTTCGGCTTCGACTGGCCGAGAAGAATACGGGGCACGGCAAAGGCTGCCGCCCCATCCGAAGAGGCAGCCCCATCCAAGCCATCCCTGCTGGCCAAGCTGCGGACTTGCCTTATACTCGGCTACTGTGGGCTGCAGCTCTTCCTACCGTACTCGCACTTCATCACGAAGGGATACAACAACTGGACCAATGGCCTGTACGGCTACTCCTGGGACATGATGGTGCACTCGTACGACACCTTGCAGACCTCCATCCAGGTCGTGGACAACGACAACCAGCAGGTGCACAATCTGAATCCGTTTGCCTTCACCGAGTACGAACGCTGGACCAAGTATGCGGACATGGCGGTGCAGTATGCCAAGTGCATCGAGGAGAACATTCAGAACAGGCAGGTCAGGGGGCGTCCATCGATTGGCAGCAACATTTCCATTTACTTTGACATTTGGTGCTCCATGAACGGCCGGTTCCAGCAGCGTTCCTTCGATCCACGCGTGGACCTGCTGAGGGCGCCGTGGTCACCCTTTGAGACGACGTCGTGGTCGCTGCCGCTTCTCAACGAGCTGAACTATATGCGTCCCAAGCTGCGGACGATTGAGAACGAGGTCCTGGCCTGGAATAACTACTCCGATGTTATATTTGTGGCCGACTTTCCGGGCTTGACGCTGATCAACTTCATATCGCCGGATCTGATCAACTGCACGCTGACGATCCTCGAGGGCAATGTACGCTACAAAAACGATATCGAACGGGAGTCGTATTTCCTTACAGCCGGCAAGAGCATTGGCCTGGCGAGCAACATCACCCACTTTGTGACGACAATTGGACAGAAGCCCGCCTCCTATTTGTTCACGTACACCAACAAGACCATGCTGGAGCAGGACATCGCCGTCGAAGATACTACTGCTGCTGCAGAGGTAGAGCGTCCCATACTGCCGCTCTGGAGGGAGTTCGAGCAGCGTGTGACCAACTACCAGCAGTTCCTCGGACACATTGGCAACTGTGTGCTGTATCTGCTGTACGATGTGCCCATACCGCTGGCCGTGCGGGAGAGAGATTAAGATTGAAGATTGAAGCCTGCCGCAATGCTCGACTATATTCCTATCCCTAAGTGTGACTAATTGTATGGGTGATAAAACTGATAATAAATGTTCAATATTATACTAACACAGATGCACTTCTCTTATCTACAACTGTATTTACAAATGTCACACACAATATTACTTTCAGCCTAATAATAACGAATCTCTGCCAGAGATGAATAAACACGATCAATTTAGGTTGGGGTTTGGGGTAGGGCCGAATCTCACACAGACACACACAGGCATTGTCCAAGCATTGTCCAAGTGGCTTTATCTGTAACTACGCTACGCCCCGCGCCTTCTTGGGCACCTCTTGGGTGTATTCGGTGTCGCGACTGGGATCGAACTGCTGCGTCTGCGTCTCCCACAGGCGGGCATACAGGCCGTTCTGCTTCAGCAGCTGCGAGTGGGTGCCACGCTCGCCCACACCGCCGTTCTCGAGAACTAAAATCTCATCGACATCTTTGACTGTCGACAGGCGGTGGGCAATGCAAATGCTGGTGCGACCAGAGGTAGCGCGGCCCAAAGCCTGAAGGATGTTCTGTGGGAAAACAATTGGCAAGGATTAGCTAATGCAGGCAGGAAATACCCCGGATAGCTACTCACATGCTCCGTAATGGAGTCCAGACTGCTGGTCGCCTCATCGAAGATTAGAATCGGCGTGTTCTTAAGAATGGCGCGAGCAATGGCCACGCGCTGCTTCTCGCCGCCGGACAACTTCAGTCCGCGCTCCCCCACCTGGGTGTTGTACTTCGCGGGCCAGCTCATGATGGAGTCATGCAGATCGGCCATGCGTGCCGCATTCTGCACCTCCTCGTGCGACTTGCTCAGGTTACCATAGTGAATGTTGTGCTCGATGGTGTTGTGGAACAGCACCGAGTCCTGGGGCACCACGGCAATCGTCTTTCGCAGGCTGTCCAAGTCCACAGAGCTGATGTCCTGGCCGCCAATCAGAACCTTGCCGGAGTTGGGCTCAAAGAAACGGAACAGCAGGCGCACCATCGAGGACTTGCCGGAGCCAGAGCCACCCACAAAGGCCACATTCTTGCCGGCGGGTATCGTGAAGGACAGATCTTTGAAGATCGGCTTGCCGGGCTCGTACTCAAAGTTCACGTTGCGGAACTCAATCGACGAGTTGCTGTTGTCGATGAACAGGGGCTGGGCGTTGGGCGCCGTCTGGATGCGACTGTCCACATTCATCAGCGTGAACATGGACTGCATGTCGAGTAGCGCCTGCCGCACCTCCCGGTACACACTGCCCAGGAAGCCCAGAGGAATCGACAGCTGAAACAGCAGGGCATTGACCATGACCAGATCTCCCACGGTCATGTTGCCCTGGACGATCTCCCTGGCGGCCAGCACCATGATCAAACTGAGGGCGCTGCTGAAGATCGCATTTTGGCCAAAGTTCAGCAGCGCCAGACTGGAGCTGGTCTTCAGGCTGGCCGCCTCGTACTTCTTCAGCACCTCGTTGTAGCAGCCCGCCTCGTACTTCTCATTGTTGAAGTACTTGACCGTCTCGTAGTTGATCAGCGAGTCCACGGCCTTGTTGCCAGCCTCGTTCTCCGCCTGATTCATGTAGACGCGGAAGCGTGTGCGCCACTGGGTGACGCTCAGTGTGTAGAGGGCATAGATGCCCACACAGCCCATGCTAACTCCGGCAAAGGCCAGGCCACACTTGATCCCCAAGATGCTGGACACCAGAGCCAGCTCGAAGATCGTTGGTACAATGTTGAAGACCATGGCGGAGAGCACAAAGTTAATGCCGCGCGAGCCACGATCGATGGTCTTTGACAGGGCTCCCGTCTGCTTGTTCAGGTGGAAGGCCAGATCCAGGTTGTGCAGATGAAGGAACACGTTGCTGGCAATCTTCCGTATGGAATGGTGGGCCACCTTCGCGAACACAGCATTTCGTAGCTCATTAAAGCCAGCGGCACTGGCTCTGGCAATGCCATCTAACCAAGAAGAACAATTATTAATAGGAATCATAAGGAAATAATCCGATTACTTACATCCCAAGAGCAGGGCAGTGGCTGTGGATAGCACCGCATCCGGTGCCGTATCCATATTCAAGGTGGTCATGGTGTCCACAGCGCCCTTGAACATAAACGGTACGCACACAGTCAGCAGTTTGGAACCAGCCAGCAGACCCAGTGATATGCCCACACTACAAGGACAGAAGATTCATAAATTATTGTCAATGCCAGATGGAAGTTCCTTGGGAGCTCACCGCTTGCGCACCAGGGGATCCTCCTTGGGCCAAATGTATGCCATCATGGCTCGCATCATATCCTTGGAGGTAACCTCCGGTGCGTCCAGCTTCCCCAGGCCAGAGCCGCCATCGCTGCTGCCCCCTATATGAACGTGACATTGTCGATATTGTTGTACTTGAAGTCGATGCCGATGTTGTAGCGTTGTTGTCGCTGCTGCTGCTGCTGCCGCTCCTGCTGCTGGGGCTGCACCTGCATTGAATTTACTTAAATGCAGCAAAATCCAAACAGGCGCTCAACACAACAAGCGAACAAACAAACGAAACGAGCATTGGGCCGACTCTTGGTTGATTACAACAGAAAACTCTCACAAAACAAGAAGGGATTTTGGTTAGTAATCAAACGATAAATAAGGATAAAAAGCTACCGTTAAACAAGTGTTATCTACAGCAAGGCTGGATTCGGGTGCGATTCCGGTTAGAACCTACCTTTGGCCTTCTTGCCAAACACTCCACCCAGTAGCTTGCTGCCGGGCGTGGGTGTAAAGGGCGTGACCTTTTTTCGTTTTGCATTATCAGCATCGTCAGCACTGGCCAGCGACGAGTAAAGCTGCAAGAAAGACGTCACAATATTAGCCACAGTCCTTTAGAAAATTACAAAACATTTTTGTACTTTATTCGAATCTTAGGATAGGCTACTTTTAGATGCCGGTACAATGCACCGCCTCAAATTCGTTTAGATATCGGATGCACTCCGTCAGATAGGACCGGGCCACTGCACCGCTCTCTGTCAGCTGCGGCAGCTTGTCCAATTCCCCCGCAAATAACTGATACTCGCTGATCTTGTGGGCCACCAAATAGGCCAGTTCAGGCTGCACATCGTCGAATTGTTGGACATCGCCAAAGGCAATCTGATTGAGCACATTGGGAAAGTAGGCCTGTTGCTTGAAGATCAAATGGAGGACCACGCGCAGGTTGTGCGAGCATCCATCGTCGAGATGCACAAACATTTGATCGCTCAGATTGTGCTCCCTGATGAACTTGAAGATGTTGCGATGGTAGGTCTGCGTGGCCAGCGTTTTGTTGTGTTTGATCATGTGCTCAATGTCCAGCAATGACACTTCAAAGTAGTCGTGGGCATTGCCCTTCAGCCAAAAGCCGTACTCGGTCAACAGCTTGAGGTTAGTCAGAGCGCCATAGCTGATGTACAACTGCTCGTAGGGCTTGATCTCAGCTGTGGGCGGGCCATTTAGTGTTAGCACAAAGTCCTCTCCCTGGATCTCGGCAGTTGTCTGCACTGCGTCCGAATGGTTGAACAGATCCAGGAGCGGAGCCAATGCTAGGTTTGTACTTCCGCTCAGGAGAGGCTGAAAGTGACTCTTGCTTGACTGCAGTTCCAGCATGCGCGAATTGAGGTAGACGCTGCGAGTGTTTACGGCAAAGTAGGCCACTCGATACTCCGACAGGGTCCATATATTTTGGAAGTATCTCTGGCCGCAGCATTCACAGCACTGGGATCCCACCAGGGTCTTGAGTATTTCGTAATAGTCGCGTATCTGTCGGTTCTGGGCCACTGTGCGCTCGAGCAGGCACTCTGGCAGGCACTGCAATTCGGGTATGGTGCAGAAGTAAGGCGTGGTGTAGCTTCTGGGCAGCGTATCCAGATAAACACCAATATCAGAGGTTTGTGAACAATCGTGAAAGTGCTGCTCATGCATCAGGTAGCAGGCAATCAGGGCCTGAAACGAAATGCGTGCATCCTTGTCGAATAGATCCTTATTGAAGAGACCTTTGAACGCCTCGTCTGCCTCCAGGGTGGCTATGCTTATGAGACAGTGAACGGGCAGGCGGATCAACTCGTCCCCAGCCACAAACGACCGACGCTTTGAGCAGAGCCCGCGCCCAGTCTTGGCATACGAGTGGCCTGATAATTGCGTAGAGTTCTGCCAGTTCCGGGCAAGCAGCTGCACGTAGAGTTGAGGCAGGCTGTTCGACTTGTTCTTGGCGGAGTCAACAGTTGGAGATTCGGTGGCCTGGCGGCGACGACGACGGCGCTGTGTGCGACCCATTGCTATTCCTTTTAGTCTGGTCTGCGTGTGTGCTGTTTTGGCCGTGCTACTGTGCTATGTGTATGTCTATGTATGTATATGCTTACTGCAACGAAAGAAGCAAGTGCGTAGTACATTAATTCATTGAAATCTATCTCTAAAAGGGCCAAAACAACACACACGCATACTGTTGCCTGACCACTTTTTTCGTTTTGTTTTTTGTTTGGTTTTTCTGCCTGTTGCTGTGCTAATTGTTGAAATATTCCACTACAATAGAAACGCGATCTACGCATAATTACGAAATCGTAATCTAGCCATAGGGGGACTTTATCTAGCCGAGTGGCCTTGAGACACGGCCACGGGCGTAGATGTGTGTGCTCCGCCGGTTGACACTTACCACTCTCGCTTGCACGTGTCGGGTTCCCTTAGCAAGTCTGTAACATGTCGCGCTGCAACTGGGGGAGGGGAGGTTCTTGCTGCACAGTTTCGTCAGGTGTAAAAGTCCAGCCATTACTTTGCCAAACACAAAATAAAATACAATCCCCGACCGTATGTTTATGTGTGACGATAACGATAATACCATCCGGCCGAAATCAGGCAGTCCGGCGATCAAACGAGACTTAACCCACTTAACCCCCCTCTATTTAAAAAGTTGAGCACCCTGTTAAACCGCGGAAAATAATACTGTTTGTAAAAGCTGCTTGTAGCTCCACCCTCCTCTTTACTTACAAAACAAAAATGACCACCGACTTCTTTCACCTCTAATGCGTAAAATATGTTAACGTTACATCAATTTCGTGGAAATATTAAATACCCCCCTGGGCGACAATGGGATAACGTTCTATTTTATTGATTGAAATCGTGTTCCATGATTTTAATATTCAGTTTAAATATTACTAGCTAGTTGGGCCCTCTCTGCCCTAAACAAATAATTTTATCCGATCGATACATCAATTTTCTACAAGACGGGCTAGTTTTCAGAACTCTTTTTTATTGCATTGGTTACATAAAAATGTTCAAACAAAAACGGCCAAAGCATAAAACGTAAATGTTGACTAAATGTGACCAAGTTTCTTCTATGCGTATGGAGCAGTGTTGGCTAACGCTGCAGCGACAGCTGGCACAGATATGAGCATTTTGGTTCTGTTCTTTGGTCCGTCTTTCCATCCTGGCTGCGAATATAAATATATACACTTTTCGTTTAACTAAAAATTCGCCTAACACGCCTTTCATGCCTATTTTAGTCAATGCTAAAAGGCAAACACATGACACGCCCGAAAGTTTAACATTAATTTTCATCTAGAACTAGTTCATTTCAGACGGTTCACACAAGCGGCTTCTTGTCATCATTTGTTGTTTATTCTCGAAAATTCCGCCCAACGATTGAAAATGTTTGGTTTGATTATTACCGGACGCCTGCCACAAACGGATTTTGAGCCCGTGGGTGAAAACAAGTTGCTCATAAATGTGCCGGACATCGAGGCTGTCAACTACATAGTCGTCTTCCTGACGGGCATCACACCGCTACCTATTGGCGCCTCGGCGGCCATCTATTTCAGCTGGCCGGACGCGTGTGCGGCACCAACCTGGCAGTACTTGGGTCACATCGGCAACAACAAACCCTCGGCGATATTCAAGATAGCACAGCTGAAGAAAGGCCACGAGCTGGGCACGCAGGCAAATGGAATGGTCTTTGGCACCCAGGAGATCTCCAACATAGCGCAGATCGGCATCAGCATAGAGCCGGAGCTGACGGTGGCGCAGCAAACTCCTGCAGTGGTAAGTTCTGATTGAATTTGTGATTGTAAACTGCACAACTAACTAATGTATTTACCTTTGGAGTCGAATGCCAACGACAATAAGCAGTTTGGCCAGCGCATGCTGGAGAACTTCTTCAACTACGCTTCCAGTTTTTGCATCTCACCGCAAGACATCCCACCTGCCGCGACCGAGTCCTTTGTGCCCTTCTCTGTGGTGCTAAATTGGTACGCCAACTTTCAACGTCGCATGGATCAAAACCCCAACTTCTGGAAATACTAACAGCGCACCCAAGTACCGTTAAGTGGCCCATACCATCCCCCTTTTATTTTATAGATATTGCAAATAAATTTGTATATATTCTTTCAGTATTTTGATAAAACGTTCAAAAAAAGTTATACCAAATGCTTATCAAGAGGCTCTGGAAGCACTCACTTTTTCTTCGGTTCCTGAGGCGACTTTCCATCTGCACCTTTCGGTGGAGCAGCATCCTTCTTTGGTGCTGCCTTCGGTGCTTTGGCTTTCTCTTTTAAAGAGTGTTCGGATCTCTTTTTGGCAGCATCCAATGCTTCATTGCCGGCTTTGGTGGCAGCCTTGGCCTTCGCTTGCTGAGCCTTGACAATGCGCTCGAGACGTTGCTTGTTGGCTTCGGTCATCTCTCCAAAGACGTCGGTTATAAATGCCTTGTACTCTGTTTTAAACTGCACCTTGTTGCCCGTGGCTGGCGCCGAGTTGGGTAGACGTCCAACATAGGATATGCAACGGCTGCAACGATGGAAACCGAAATAATTAATACTTTAATAAGGCACCCATTATGTTTCTAGTGCTGTGCTCTCTCTATGTAATTTATGTTTCGCTCGCTCCACAACAGCCGGCACGGGCACACAATTTGGCAAGGGAATGTCACAAAGCGAACACCCGAATACCCATCGTCTGCTATATGTTCTAGGTCTAGTATAGGCGAGGTACGTGGGTCTATTTAAACAATAGCATTGGCGCTGGGCGGCCACGCTAGCTGATTTTTATTCCTGCTCTCTCCTAGCCAGCCACCCCCTGCTATCTAGCGTTGTGTTCTTTTTTGTGGCCTGCAAAAAAGCAAGCCATTTGGCAAAGTCGACACATTTATTTAGTCTATATAAAATCGCTATTTATATAGTATAGAAGAATACCATGAGCATGAGTATATAATGTGTACATACATATGTATAACTGTCTGTGTGGCATCCGAAAACACGCGCAACCTCTTTTGACCATGCTGCAGTTGTTTTATTGTTCTTAAACGATGTATAAACATTGCACCATACCCTGCAGTTGCAGTTGAGCGATGGAATTTTAATGAATGAAGCAGTGGCACCTATTACAGAAACTATGATCAGAACTGAGTATAGTATAAGGGAATTCGCTTCCCATAAGCAGCTCTTGTAATTGTAATTAATGGTAAAGCACCTATGTATGCTTCGAATAAGAGGCATGGGCATACCCGTGCCACATAATTTGCCTGCAATTAAATACTTTTGCAAATTGTTGTCTGTTCCGATCATTGATTTGGCGAGCATTGCATCGACCATCCACAATAGCAATCGGAATCGAGTCTCTTGGCTGCTCTTTGGGGATGTTGAAAGATTGCATTGGCGAGACAGTTTCGCTTGCAACGTGTTGAGTGCCGCATATCGATTTGAATTGAACGCGTTGCGCGTGTTGCACGAGACGCGCCCGACCACGCGAAAATAGGTCAAAAGGAGAGCAAAAGCCGCCCCACAAGCCGCGACCACAGCCAGCCAGCGATATCATTGAGCAGCCCCATTGGGGCAGAAGAGCGAGAGACGCAATCCGCAATGCCACAAACAGAGGCAGCAGCTGCTACTAATAATTTTCCGAGGCTTGTTGTTGATGGCATCATAAATCAAAAGCCTGAGTCATCCATGCTGTCAATGGGGCCGCCGGAAGTGCCGAGCGCTGGTCTGCAATTTCCGCTATGCCTCGGCCGTTGGGTCACGCGTTCGCGATTCCCACCGAATCACTCAGAGCAGCGTCTGTGTCTGTGCCATCAAAGTGACAAGACGAACACGCCACTAAAAGGAATATACAAACAATATGTGTACCAAGCAAATGGCCAAAGGTTTCCCATGTACCTTGACCAGGCGAAACAGCAACGCTTTCCCCTGCATCTCTCCCAAGGAACCTTGCTGCAGTTGAGGGCCCCCAGCCGAGAGCAAATTTCAGACATAGTCAAGAGATTTCCCTTGAAATCTCATCAGGTACTTGCTCCCTCCTCAATCATTCGCACCTTTCCCGAACTGGGCCAAATGCCGCAGAGGAATTTCAATTCTGCAATTCGCCAAACAACAACCCCAACGATGACTCGACGGGGGCAGGTGCGGTTGCCACCCGCATCGAAGGCGCCCAAAGAATTTCCCATAATTAAAAAACAATTTGTTAGCTTTCCCGATCATCATCATCGAACGATGGCCAATGATGGCGCGCGGCATGGAGGAGATCCAAGCGGTGGGATGAAGGTGCGGTCAACGGATGTGGTGCCCACACCACCACCAAGAAAAACCAAAACAACAACAACAATGACGCAGATGAGCCGCGACACAATCCCCAAAATAGACACAGATCCACAGTGGACAGGCGGAGAAGAAGGTGCTGGTGCTGGTGCTGCTGCCGTCTCCGTGAACGCCCTGAATGATTGTCATAATAATGATGATGATGTACATAAGGTGTTTGATAATGAACTCGAAGCTCATGGGCGGCGTCAGCGTTGGCGGCGGGGTACAGCAGCAGCAGCAGCAGCAGCAGCAGCAGCAGCAGCATTAAACTTGAACGTGTACGTGTCCGATGCTGATGCCGATGCCGATGCCGAAGGTGTTGGCGAGCAGAAGGAAATCGAGCATCAACAGGCGGAAAATTTTAATGACGCCTTCTTCGGCCAGCGACACGACCACAACGACAACGACAATGACAACGATAGCGACTACGCCATGGATGTGGATGGGGCCAAAAATAAACACGAAATATGCGAGCAAAGCAAATTAGAGAAGGTCTTTGGTGAGGCGGAGATGGAGCATGGACGGGCCGAAGATCATAATGAGCTAAATATGACTAAAGAGGGGAGCAAACATTTAGCACATCAAGAGCAGGAGAGGCAGGAGAGGCAGCAGCAGCAGCAGCAGCAACAGCAACAGCACCAGTCAATATGCTTAGCTGGGGAGCAAACAATAGATGGGGCAGTGGCGGCCAGCAACCACCAGCAGCAGCAGCAGCAGCAGCAGCAGCTGCCCGTCGATCTCTCAGACGCGCGCGAAACGTCGCCAGAGCAAGTGGACGATCCGAAACAGATTCCGACTAATATTCGCATAAGCGACGGCGCCAGCAGTCACGTTCAGCAATCGGAATACGGATCATTGGGCAGTCGCAGTGCCAGTGCCGGGCAACACAAAGTAACGCGTCCAAATATAGAATTACTGAAGAGTTCCGTTCGCGCGTTCCTAGACGAGGGTGCCGTCGCCTCCCGATCGCGACCACAGCTCGACTTTGAGCTGATTGAACTGCTGACCGAAGCAATCGAATTCCTGTGCGAACCCTCCGCCATCACGGGCAACCTTTGGAGCGAGTCTGGGGCAGTGGCAGAAGCAGAAGCGGGAGCGGGTGCGGGTGCTAAGCTAGAGGCCAGTGTGCAGAGTGCGGACATGACTGTGAGCAAAGTGATTGAGGATCGCGACAGTGAAACAATCGTCGTTTATCCCGACCAAATCGAACCGCCCACTGAGGTGGATGACAACAACAACAACAGCAGCAGCAGCAGTACCAGCAGCAGCAGCGGTAGCAACGGTAGCAGCGGTAGCCCTGTCCATGCCAGCAACGAGATGAAGTACGAACTGAAGACTGCAGCCACAACACTGCCAAGCAGACGTCTCCCCATTATCAGCCCCATTATCAGCCCCATCACAGCCACTCCAATCCCAGCAGCTGTCCCCACATTGACAGCCCCGCCCACAAGTCGCTTCAGTGCCACCAGTCGTATACGCAATGTGGATGTAGTGCCGCCGACGCCCATAACACCCCTCCTGCTGGGTGAACAACTGAAACGGAGCCCCATGTCCAGCCGCGTTGACATCTCCGTAGATCCGGAGTTGGTGCTGCCAGAGCGGACGCGTCTGCGTCGACAGCGGCGCATGCGCTCCCAGGACTCGGTGGAGGAGAAGCCCGAGGATGTGATCGAGCGGCTGAACAAGCTCAAGGCCCGCATATCGGGAGCGCTCAATGAGGTCAAGGGTGTGCTGAAGCAGTACAGCACCGAGGGCGAGGCGGAGGCCGCCGGCGTGAAGTGGCAGGGGCCGCCGTCAGCGTCACCCAAACCAGCTGAGGCTGAGAGTGCAGCAGCAGCAGCAGCAGATCCTCCTCCTCCGGTGACATTCCGTTTTGTGAACAAGGTGCGACGACGCCGCAGCTACTTTGACGAGGCGGAGGAGGAGAAGGAGCAGGCCAAAGCCAGGCAGAGTGCAGAAGCGGAAGGCACCAAAGAAGGCAAAGATGAATCAATCAGGGAGAACCATGTACCGCAACCTGCCAGCGATCTCAAGGATAAAAAGGAAGAGCCAGAAACAGCTGAAAGGAAGGATAATTCAAGCGATATAAAGCCAAAGATAAATGAAACAACAGAGACTATCAAGAATGTCGAGACTACTCAGGAAACCCGAAGGCAGGAAGAGCCTGCAACAAAACTCCAAGAAGATGGAGCAGCAGCCTCCTCAGAGTCAACGCCAGTCAATGGAGAGGAACCACCCAAGGCTGTGGAACAAACAAAATTAACAGAGAAGAGCAAAGTCCAGGCCAAAATCGACTTCCTGGCCAAGGTGCAAATGGAACTCAAGGCAAAGTCCGTGAAAGTTGCTCAAGATTCAAACAGAGCAACCGCTCCCAAAGCGGAGACCCTGACACCAGCAGAAACCACAGAAAAAGAAACAGAAACAGAACAACCAAAGCCAACCACAAACGCACTGCCAAATGAGTCAGACCAAATGGGGCAACCAGCAGCCGATTTGGAAGCGCCAGTGACCGTCAAGAGTGTGGTCAAAAAGAAGGTCTTCGTGGTAAAGTCAAAGGCGAATAATCCCCGACGTGCCTCAATTGCTGCGGTGGAGCCATCCAAGATCAAGATCGAGCCGTCAGTCGGCCAGATCGATGCACTCATCACACAAAGGCGACCCTCCGATTCGGAGGCGATTGTCAAGCGCAAGAAGAAGCAGAAATTAATGAGTATCAATGCGCCATTAACTTCCGGCAATCAGAAGGAGGCAACGCCGAAGACGACGACGGACTCTATAGCCGAGGAGGCCATGATGGGCGCAGCGGTCAAGTCAAAACCTCTTGCTGAACAATTGGCAACGGCAGAGGTCAATGCGGTGGCAGCCAAAAGCGAAACGAAGTCGCCTGCCAAAAGCCACGAAGGAGATGAAGCAGCAGCGACGACACCAGCGACAAGTGCATCAGAAGCTACAAAGGCCCAGCCAAAACGATCGCAAATCGATGAGGCCAATCAAGCGCCAGCCAGCGAACGAGGCAGACGCGCAAGCCTGAAACTAGCGGAGTTGGTAGGCGAAACGGTGCTGGTGGTGCCGGCATCGAGATCGAGTGCAGCAGCAGCAGCAGCAGCAGCAGCAGTCGCAGCCACAACAGAGACAGTGCCTGCAATTATCAGCTCATTAAGCGAGTCCAAAGAACCCATTAATCAGTCGGCAATTGTTCCGGAGATAGCCATTCCCATCGAGACGCAGGTGGAAAAAGCAACGCCCCAACAGGTGGCCATCGGTGTTGACATTGAAGGCGCCGCCAGTGCCTCCGTCTCCGTGTCCGAGTCCCAGTCCGTTGGCGAACAGTCAGCGCCACAAATAGCAGCGACATTGAGCGAAGTGCCGCACGAAGAGTCATCGTTACAACAACCAGAGGGAGGGGCAGAGGCAGAGGCAGAGACACAGCCACAGCCACAGCAGAGCCAAGCAGCCGGGGAAGCTACAAAAGACAACGCACAGGCGCATACTAGCGACAGTCTTGCCACCATGCCGGAGCTGAAAGTACTTGCGGGCCCGGTGCAGCCCGTCAAGATCGAAACGGTTGAGCAGCCGCACGATGGGGACAAAGCGGATCATCTATCCGTTATCAAGAAGAAGTCGACGCATCTCAAGAAGTTGGTGCGCAAGAATTCCATAGACAAAGCGAGGGAGAAGGAGGAGGAGAGCAGGCTGAGCAACATACTGCGGGACAAGAACAAGATCAGCGAACTATCCTCGAGAATCAATAAGCTAACGCCGCCCAAGAAGCAGGTGAAGGCGAGCCAAAAGGAGCCGCCACAGCAAGTGCAGCAAGTGAAAGCCGAAAATGATGCAACACCCGGAGAAGCACCAAGCGAGGAGATCAACGATATCGAACCTGAGCCTGAGCCTGAGCTAGAGCCAGAGCCAGAGCTTGAGGCAGTGCCAACTCCCGCGCCAAAGAAGCCGCGCAAGATCAAAAAGAAGGTGATCATCAAGCGACAGAAGCGACGCCTCTCCATCAGCGACACATTCTTCATCCAGCCAGAGCCAGAGGAGCCCAAGGAGCCCGAAATCGAGACCATTGAGAAGGCCATTGCCTATGTGACTGACGACGATGATGAGGATGACAAGCAGCAGCAGCAGCAGGCGGAGCAGTTGGAGCCAGTGGAGCCGGTGAAGCCACTCAAGTCCTGCCTGCATGTGCGCGAATACAAGATCGGGGACCTGGTGCTCTATGGAGAGCGGTATCGCAAGACCCAAGTGCGCTGGAAGCGCGGACGGGTGCTCGAGCGGATTACCAGCATTTCGTACAAGCTGGAGATCGAGGGCAAGGAGGTGGCCGCCCATGTCAGCTACATCAAGAAGTACACGGGTCGCAAGGTGCAATTCGGCAACAAGGAGTACCTGGAGATTGACTACGAGCAGGTGGTCGAGGAGGAGCGACGAGCGGCCAGCTACAGCATATGGAATATGGTGTAGAAGGAGGTGCCTCAGACACCCAGAGTGTGCCGAGTGTGAGTGTTCCCTGTGCTGTGTCACCCCGCCCCGAATGATGCGTCGGCCCCATCTGTAGCCTTTGAGTAGAATTAAAAAATTGTTTTCAGTCAAGGAAGAATTTTTTAAGGATCTCAACTCGACATTCAGTTATGTTATAGTCTTTCTTCTCTAATTAGCTAGCTAGTCTCTCGTATGTGTAATCTTCCTGTAAATACTCGTAGTTTAGCGTTTAGCTTATCCTAAAGTTAGTCACAGATACATTAGTTAGTAGGAGAGGCCAACAATTTGAATGTAAATTATTCCAGAATCAGTTGAGTATCAATTTCGATGTGTGTTCCCTTTAGTGGAGTGTCTACATTATAAGTATGTGTAAAATAAACCAAATTTAATGTTAAATAAAGCCGAAAATATTTCAGAAATTCGCGTTGCAAACTCTTTACATCATCCATCCGTTGCCTTGGCTTGGCTTGGCTATTTTAATCATCATCATCATCATCAGGAAAAACAACAACAACAGCTATTTCCAAATCCAATTACTCATAAAAATTTTATGAATCTGTTTATTTCAAATGTTCCCCATTTGGCGATTGATGCTTCCCCTTGGCCCTCACAAATATCCATCCATTCCATTCCATCCACTGTTGTTGTTTTTCCGGACTATTTATAGCTCTCGATTGGAGGAAAACAGCGCAATGAATGAAAAAGAAAACAGAGCAACCCGAAGGTGCTACCAAATATTTGCTTTTCCCTCTGGGGTCTACTCCTACTAAGTGGTGACTCTTTCTCCATTCCTCATGGTCAGTGGCCAGTGGCCAGTGGTCAGGGGGCAATAAATTCCATACACATCTCAATTCGCAAAAAAAAAAAAAAAAAGACACATATTATGGGTTTCGCCCACACCCACTCTACAATATAATATATCCCTATCGCGATACGATATATCCCTCCGGGTTGGGGTACAACAGAAAGATCTCACGATGCGTGCCATTAATAAAACTTTGGCGGGGACTCCGACAGGGGCGGGGAGCACCCGCAAAAGGGAAATCGCTAAACATTCTCGGACAATTCTCATAATTGATTGTCAAGGCGTTTGGCGCTTTCGGAATTTCTCGGTTTTTTCGGTTTTGCCAGCAAAAAGAAAAGAAAATCTCTCATAATTATTGCGTCCCCCGTTCTGGCTGTTTGTACAAGAGATTTTAATTTACGTTGACAAAAACAACAAAGAAAATTCACAAAACATTGCCGCCAGATGCCAGCCAGCCAGCCAGACAGCTAGCTATAGACATACGAGTATCTCTGTACAATGTACATTCATATATGTAAGTATAGGGATAAAGATGGGGATGAGACATAGAACTTGTATATAATAGATATATAAAAACCAGCAAATATGCTAAATTCCTGAGGCCTTTTCTGTGCGCCAGTGTGTGCGCCCCCAACAAGATATTTCATTCAATTTTTCGTGCTGGCAACCAAGTACAAACATTAATATGAAAAAAAATTAAAAAATCAAAAAACAAAACACATTTCACACTCGTCTACTCTTACGAGCATGTATGGTATTTTTGAGCGATAGCTGGGTGGAACATTCTCATGAAAAACCCAAACATTCGAGACATCAAAGATTTCAAGTGCAGAGAAAAGTACTTGCTGGGGATACGAGTATTTAAACATAAAATCATACGAGTTCAGGGGAAGCAGTTGTATTATTTTCCATAAATCAGAGCAGAAATCTAGCGAGCCAGCAGCAGTGCGCGGACTCGGGACTCGGGACCGGGACTCGGGACTCGGGGCTCGGAATTTTACTACTTATATGTCGCCACATTAAGTTTTATGTGGATTGTGGATTGTGCGAGCAGAGGAGCACAACACTCGCAGATCTCGCATAAGAAATGCCAATCGTTAATTCAACAGACAAACGCCAGCAACAACTACACAAGTACATATGTATGTACGATACATTTAAATATCTTTGGGACAGGGGCAGTGGACGGTGGACGGTGGACGGGGAACGTGGATTGCTTTCAGCTTTTTCTGTTTTAGTATCAAACGCCGCCGTCGGGCAAAAACTGTGCCAAGTTCCTTGCGCTAGTTTTATACAATGCAAAATCCAACATCGACATGGGGCTGTCCGCGATTTGTTCAAAGTGCAAATCTGGCAGCAAGGCCGGACGGACCGGACCGTGCCGGACCGGACCGCGCCAATTACTAACAACGCAAAAACCAAATTGAAACAAATTATTGGAGCCTTTGGCTGGCGGAATTGCTGCAGAATTAATCGTATCGGAGAGGACAGGCACCGTCCCTGAACCGACATTTTTCATCACTTACTAAACCACATGGAAGTCAAGGCAGCAGAAGTTGTGGGGGCGATCCGATCTGTGAACTCTAGCGAGGTCAGATGAACGTAAATATACGCCAAAATATGCTCACAAATTTACAAGATCAGGCCGCACACCTATAAATCTTTAGGGCAGAACCAAACAACCTTCAAGAATTTGCTTGGCACACGTTTGGTTCATACGAAAAAAGAAAATAAAAAACAAAAATAAATAAAACAATAGAGAAAATCAGAGATTTCAGGGGTCGACTACAAAAGTACCCTTGCAGGCGGGACCAAAGGTCCTTTACCTAGAGGTAGAGGTAGACGTGGCCTAGGACATACTGCTGATCTATGCAGAATATATATAAAAATATATTCTTTACAGTGAATACCCACACTGCCAGAAACGATAGAGAGGGAGCGAGAAACGATTAAGTGGAAAACCAAGATATTGTTGGTGTTGGTGTTGGCATGCGCCAGTGCCAGCGCCAGAGGCTACCAAGGATCACAATCGATACAGCGGCGGCGGCATAGATGGCGTCACACTGCGACGACCCGTCGCCATTTTGAAAGTGTCAACTGAAACGTTTGGATCGTATCGTATGGGGAGATCTGTGGCTGGTTGCGTGCGAGAGAGCGGGAAATCGTCACAGTCGACGCGAGCATTTCGACTTTCACATTCGATTGACACTTTGAAGGCGCGTCAACGATAATCGCACCTGAATTAAATCATTAGGCGGTGGGGCTACGGCTACACAGCAGTAGCCCAAGGCCTGACATTGCACCTTGGCATTTCAGGAGAGAGCGAGAGAGAGAGAGAGAGAGAGATGGAGCTCTGTGTCTGTGTGTATCTTAGGATCTGTGTTCTTTGCTGATCATCCCCAGGACTCACGTTTCGTTTTCTCTTTTGATCAGGGCCGTGTCAAAACGTGGCTGTACATAGGACCAGCAGCCCTGGTTCTTGTGCTCCTCCTGAACCCACAACAGCTCCGCTGACTTGTACAGCTCCAGCTCCTTCATGATCAGATCATACGGGAAGGGACAGACCTAAAGAACGGACTAAAGTTAATAATATATCCAATCAGTTAGAGAGTTCTAGGTTACCTGTTCGATTCGAACGAGTGCCACCGTTTCGTCCTGCTCGTGATCCTCCCGCTCCTTGAACAGATCGTAGTAGACCTTGCCCGTGCAGAAGACCAGCTTGGTGACGCAGTCGGGCTTGTTGGCCGTCTTGGCGTCGGGAATGATGCGCTTGAACTCGCTGCACTCGTTGAAGTCGCGGAACGAGCTGCGGGCCAGCGGATGGCGCAGCAGGGACTTTGGGGAGAAGTTGATGAGCGGCTTGCGAAAGCCCATGGCCACCTGGCGGCGCAGGGCGTGGAAGAGATTGGCCGGCGTGGAGAGGTTCGTCACTATCCAGTTGATTTCCATCAGCTGGCGGGCCACAAAGTCGCTGTCGCAGGTGTCCGGAAAGACATCGGGATCGTCGTCGCTCAGCTGCAGGAAACGCTCGATGCGCCCGGAGGAGTGCTCCGGTCCCATGCCCTCCAGGCTGTGCGGCAGCAGCATCACTATACCGGACTGGCGCACCCACTTGGTCTCCCCGCTGGCGATGAACGTGTCGATGATGCACTGGGCGGTGTTGCAAAAGTCCCCGAACTGCCCCTCCCAGATCACCACCGAGTTGGGATTGGCCATGGAGTAGCCGTGCTCGAAGCCCAGCACCGCGCACTCCGACAGCGAACTGTTGGACACATTGTAGTCCGCCTGGTCGGGATACAGGTGCTCTATGGAGTTGTAGCGCACCTTGTCACGGGACTGGTGGTGCAGCACATGATGGCGATGCGAGAACGTGCCGCGCTCCACATCTTGCCCGGACAGCCGCACGTGTACGCCGTCCTTCACCAGCGTGCCAAAGGCGAAAGCCTCCCCCAGCGACCAGTCGGCCAGCTTGGATTCGACCAGTTTTCTCCTCAGCGCCAGAATACGCAGAATACCCCTGGGAAGGGATCGATCGAAATGAGTGAAGCGAGTCCGGGAACTGGTCCCCGGGGCTGGTCGAGCAATCCAGACTTACTTGTGAACCTGGAACTTGTGCTCCTTGGGTGGCGGACTCGAGTAGATCTCGCCAATCTTCTTGAGCGTGTCCAAGCTGACGCCCGTGGGGCACATTTTCAGTCTGTCGCGGCCCTGAAAGAAGGCCGTCCAGGGCGAGTCAATCCACGAGGAATACTGCAATGGAAAAGCGATTATTTGGGATATTCTGAGCCGGAGAAAGGAGACCGGGGACCCAAATCAAACCTTATAGGTGGACAGCTTCTTGGACTCCTCCCACGCATCTTCGCATATTTTGTCGTACTTGGCTATCATGGCCTTGTAGTCGGCCACCGTTATCACACCCTCCTTGATCAGCTTCTCCGAGTAGAGGGTCATGCAGGGCTTCAGCTTCCTGATGCGCTGATACATCAGCGGCTGGGTGAACATGGGCTCGTCCGCCTCGTTGTGCCCGTTGCGACGGTAGCCCACAATGTCAATGACCACATCCTTGTGGAATTTGGCACGATAATCGGTGCTGACGCGCGCACAGTGGATGCACGCCTCGGGATCATCAGAGTTGACATGGAAGATGGGGGCGTTCACGACTCGGGCCACGTCCGTGCAGTAGCGGGAGGAGCGCGAGAAGCGCGGATCTGTGGTGAAGCCCACCTGGTTGTTGGTCACCACGTGTATGGTGCCGTGAGTCGTGTAGTTGGGCAGATCCGACAAGTGCAACGACTCGTAGACAACGCCCTGGCCACAGAAGGAGGCGTCGCCGTGGATGATAATCGGCAGCACCTTACTGCCAGTGACATCACCGCGCTGGTACATCTCGGCCCGGGCCTTGCCCAGCACCACCGGATTTACGTACTCCAAGTGCGAGGGATTGGCCACCACGGTGATGCGCACATTCTTGTTGGTCAGCCGGTTCAAGCGCTCCATGTACAGGCCCAGATGGTACTTGACATCGCCCGAACCCGAATCGGCGGCCTTTAGGCCATGGAACTGTCCCAGAATATCGGCAATGGGCTTGCGGCAAATGTTGGCCAGCACATTGAGTCGCCCCCGATGGGCCATGCCTGCGTAAATATCCGTGTGAGTTTGTGGTGAGTGTGGGTGAGCATCATTGGGGGGACTGGAGGATAGAGTTACGTTACCTATCATTACTGACTCGACGCCGAGGGAGGTGGAGCGATCGATGATCTCCTTGAGGATGGGTATCATAATGTCGCATCCCTCGAGTCCGAAACGCTTCTCCGAGGTGAACTTTTTGGCCAGAAAGTTCTCAAAGCCCGTGGAGCGTGTCAGGCGCTCCAGTATTAAGGTTTTCTCTTTGGGACTGAAGTCGATGGCGTCCGGCTTCTCGAAGCGTTCTCGTATCCAGTTGGTCTTGTTCAGCGATGTGATCTGCATGTACTCGACGCCAATGGAGCCGCAGTAGATGCGCTCCAAGCGGTCCAGAATCTCTCTATTTTGGGGAAGGATGCGAGGATGCCAGGATTAGGAATCGATACGTGGAGGAGTGGCTGAAGAGGAAAACCTACTTGAGCGGCAGGAACTGCTCACTGCCGCCAATCAGCGTGGACGAGGGCAGCTTAAAAGTGGCATTGAGATCGTCTGCAGGCGAAAGGCGATCGTTAGGAAAGACTGGACTGATATTTGTGCAACATCTAACTTACTGAACACATACGAGTAGTGTTGCCGGAGCACTGATTCGGTGGCATTCCGCTTGGAGCCGTCTACGGAAGTCGTACCATGCGGCTGGACAATGCCCAGCGGATCAAGATCGGCGGCCAAGTGGCCGCGCGTCTGATAGGCCCTTATGATGGCCTGCACCGTCAGATGGTCATCGATGTACTTCCAATCCATTGCTGGGGGAGCCGCCGCACCCGCTGCAGACGTGGTCGGGTTCGTTGTCGATATATTCCGTGCCGGGAGCTCCGATCGAGATTGAACTCTCGCTGGCGACGGTGCAATGGGGGGACGCCGATGCTTTCGCTTATCGGATCCCTTCGTTGACATGCTGCGTGGCTTGCCGCTAAAATAGGCATCCCACGACTGTAAATAATCAAACTATGTAGTTGAGCCATCGAACCAACCATCTGCCACCGCTTACTGGATCCACGGACTTGGGATTGGCCTTCCATTTCCGGTACAGTCCCTCAATGTAAATGGCATTGCTGCCATTGAGCATACTGTCGGCCTCTTTGCTTTTAGCGGGTGATTTTGGTGCCTTGCAAGTGGAATCGGTTTTCAGCTGCCGCTGGGTTAACGTCAACTGCAGCGCCGAGTTGTTGCTTCTCAGCCATTTCAGTGGCACATGGGCCCTGAATGGAATTCTTAGCAGCATCGTGTTCTTGAGCCGGCATTGGTTCATGGTCTTTGGGCGAAAACTATCCGAGCAACGAGAGAATTTTGAATTTAGGGAAAAAGAATTTAGTTTGTAGATGTTCTAAACAAATTGTTGACACATACTCGTATTTTCTGATAAGATCTGAGGCTGACGCTCCATACGAGTTTGCCTCAGCTGCCAGTTTCGATTCCCTCGCAGGCTACTCATCTGGATTCGTTCTATCATCTCCGAAATAATCTTCCGGGGCGCCTTTTCGCTTGGCATCCCTTTGGGCGCCCTTCCTTACCTCAGACTTGTCTTTGAATGTGCTCTCATCTGTCTCCCTGTGCTTCAGACTTTCTTTATTCAGATTAAAGGAACTATTGTCAGAGGCTGGGGAAAGTTTGTACCTCCTACTCCTACTCATGCGGATCGGTCGAATGTCCCTTTCTGGTTTTGGATTATCCTCCGGCGATTTGTTTTCCAAATCTTGTGCTTGTCTCTTTTTGATTGAATCGGAATCTGTTTCCATCTTTTGAGTTGGTATCGACTTTATAGTCTCGACAGATTTTGGTTGGTTTTTCTTAGACTTTTTCCAATATACAAGTGTATTTTCGTCGGTTTCGGGCCAATGGTAGTCGACAGAATTGGTTTCCCTTGTCTCGGATGGTGTCAAAGGAGTTAATCTGATAGGATTTTGAGTGCGAGTACTTTCCGACTTGGAATTCATTTTATGGCGAAAGTTTTGCTTTTTTGCCACTTGTCGATATTTTACGCTAGGGCCTTGTTTGAACACGCGTTTGTGGCTCGCTTTATAGCCACGGGATTTCTTCTCGGATGAATCCGATTCTGGCCTATCATTGTCTACCATTTTATACACAGATTTGTGTATTGATATGGAAGTCTTTGCTTTCTTGGGAAAGTTTCCTTTCTTTTCAGCATCGACGGTTTTCCGTTGCTTTTTCAAAGACTTATCTTTGGGTTCGGGCAACTGGAAGTCCAAAGAATCTGGCTCCGTTGTTTCAACTTGTGTCGAAGGACTTACCCTCATTGGAGTTGCATTTTTGTCAGATTTAGAGGATTCGAATTTATCATTTTCGGTAGACATTTCCATGGTCTCGTTCTGGTTGAGGATATTTGATTCCGGAAATTCGGGATTCTTTTTCTTTTTGTTCAATCGAGTGCCGTATTTTTTTGGCAAATCCTTTTTACCGGGCCACGGACTCTTCTCCTTGGCACAGTCTTTGGTTTTATTTTTCAGAGACCGACGATCTGGTATTGGCCTGAAATAATCCACTGATCCACTGGAGCCCACTTTATACAGCAAAATCGGATTTTTATTATTTGCGGAGTGATTTTGAAGACTCTTATCCTGCGTTCCTGCGTCTTTTTTGTCATCAGCAACCTGCGTCTTTAATATTTTAAACTTTCTCTTTGATTTCTTGGGCTTACTTGGTATCAAATTTTCATATTTCTGCGTCTTTAACATTTTCGGGCTCTTATTGGGCAGCGTTTTGGGTAGCCTCTGCGACTTTGTCATAATTTTCTTTGCTTTTTCCTTGACATTTTTCGATATTTTTCCCAAAAGTTCTCTCGTGGTGGTCTTTGGTGGTGTAGTTTTATCATCCTTACTTGAGCTGGTTTCCACAAAAGGACTCAGAATGGTTGGGCCTATTACAATATCACTTTGAGGGTCGATTGTATCGAAGTAGGCGGTGGGTGTCGTGCTGGGTGTGGGACCATCTCCGTCCAAGTTCTTCTGAGACCCTGGCACTTCAACCGAGCGCGGGGCCTTGGACTTTTCCAGCTTCGAGAAAAGATCTACATAGTCCATTGGCATAGTTGTTGGTGCGTCCAATTTGTTCTTCGTTGAATCCTTTTCAGTCATGAAAGGCACTATAGGATTATCCGGATTAGATGCAATTGGCTGACCTGTTTGTTGTTTAGTGGATGTGGAATTTTTTGCAGTAGAATTTGGGAAAGCCAAATGTTTTGCATAAGGCTGCTTCGCACTTTCTGGTTCTGTTGTTTCCCTTTCCATATCCTTGACAGCTCCTGGGATGACATCACCGTCAGGTTTCACTGGGACTTGGCCCTCAGAGTTTTCCTTAACCATTTCCCGAAAGTATTTTTGCCACGACTGAAGAGGGAAGGGAAGCTAATTGGTGAACAAGTTTGCATATTTTTGGCAACAATTACCGGATGAATGGAGGATTCGTCCTTTAGCCATTTGGCGAACAAATGCTCCATGTACTTTGCATTGGTGGCACCGACATCATCGATATTTACATCCCTTTGGTCAAAGTTCGATGTGCCATCCTCATCGTCTTTCCGCCCGCTGCCACCGACTTTCTTACCGCCCGTGCTGAAGCGCTGAAGTTTTTGCAAGCTGACAAAGAACCGGAAACTGCCAAGCGCCATACTATTGCTGCGAATTAAACTGGCAATTTCAATATATATAAGGTCTAAACAAGAATTTAAATTGATTCTAATATCAATGAATGAAATTATTTGACTTTGGAGCAAACACAACGAAACTGACAATTTTAATAGACATGTCATCGGTAATGATCGGCAATGTTATTCCTCAATTTTGATATCCGGCATAGTATTCTCGGATGAAATTATTACTGAAATTGCATTTTGGCTTGACAATAAATAGGAGTATAGGTTAGGTTAGGTTGAAGCGGCTGTCGGGATTGTCAGAGACCCGACACACCTAGGCCGGTTTCGGCCCGTTGTGATACCGCATATTACCGCAAATAGGAGTATAACTAAACACACGATCTGCTTTTATTCTTTGCCCTGCGTTTCGGTTTCTTGTTCTGGTGCTCCTAAAGAAGCAGTTCGATGAGGCCGCAGTTTATGGTTCCAGGGTGTGCTCCTATTTGCGAGGTGTATTGCTATTGACTAGGTCGTTAAAATCGTTATAAACAATCCATCAAATACTATAATCTACTACTACCATCAACATTAAAAAAAAAGGTACAAATTCAATTAAAATTGTTTAAAAACATGCAGAATCGTCCGGAAATGTTATATCAACGTGTGAGCCAGTCCTACAAGGATAGGCAGTTGTTCTTTAGGGATGGAACCTTGCTTCAACAACTTTATAAAACCCTGCGGAATCCTACCAAGTCAATAGAGCAGAGAACCGCCAGTCACCTTCACTGACGGCCTCTCCAAGATTGCATAAGCTCAAAAACTGGTACAGCGACCTCAGCAGCATAATAACACAAAAATTGAGTGCACTAACTAGCTCTTATAATCCCGAGAACTTTGGGCTAGTCCCTGGTCTTCATCTAAAAGCCAGACGGCAGGCACAGGGAGCATGCGAGTTAATGCTGGCGATTCTAGGTTCTGGTAAATGCTTAGGAGATATTTTTTTTAGATAAAAACATAAAATTCGGAAGAATTTTTATAATTATCACTCCCTCCAACCGTTATTTGACCGATTTGACAAGGACTCGATTTATATTATCAATGTATCGATATAGAAGATATTTTTCTACATGAATTTTACATTTTTGTTCGTTACAGTGCTGTAAAAGATCGGAAAGCCTTGTGGATTTTGACTTTAGCAGCCTGCGGCCACACTGAAAAAGCCTCACCAATATAAAATAAAAAATTATTGTAATTTTTGTTAAAGGATTAGCTGCAATGAATCAATTGAACCAATTCCACGCGCCCTCGTTCGGAGATGATATGTTCGACATGCCAACGGAGCCCACCAACCATGCTGTAAGTGCTGCTGGAGCAGGCAACACGGACGGGCATAGCAAAGCGCCGCCCAGGTCCCAAAACGAACTAAGACCTACACGGACGGACAGGCAGACAGGGTTTTTACAGCTGAGTACTTCCACTAATTGATGAGCATCGATGGATGTCATTAATGGTTTTATAATGAACTGAACGAAGCGCAGAGATCGGAATCGCACAGAATGGGGTCGCGCTGCCACCGTACTCGTACCACGCCAATCCCTCACCCACCCGCACGTCTAGCCGTACGCTTCGATCATTATCGTATGTGGTTTTTGGGGTACCAGCTGGACGACTCCTCCAGCAGACACACACACCAATGCACATAGCCCCCCCACCCGACCATACGAGCGGTTATCGATACAAAGCTGCGAAGCAGCAGCAGCAACGACGCGTCAGCTCCTTATCAACAAACAGCACGCACACACAACACCATACAGGCAACGCAATCAGCAGGCAGCAGGGCAGGTCGACGCAACGACATCGTTACCACATACTCCTCCGCTTCTCCCCCCGCTGTGGGTGCACAAGCACATGTAGCTGAGCTTGGCGGAGTCGGCGGACGAGCGAATCGTACATTAGTTTAGTTGTTCGGTCTGTGATTGGATTATAAATTCGGCCTCTTTGCTCCTCAGATGAAGAAGTTCCTAGTGAGCGAGCCGCCTTAGGGTTGAGTGTTAATAAAAAATGACTTACCCAGCGCCCAATGCTTTTGTTTTCGTTGCAGTCGCAGAGAATGCTTAGTCTGGATCATTCCACGTTCAATGATGACGAAGAGGAGGATGGTGACAACACGTATGGCCCGCAGCGGCGGCGGGCACAGCATGATGACGCAGCACGAGCCAGAGAATCATCAGCAGATCCTGCCACAGCTGCCGCCAGCTCCACAGCAGCAGGCTCTGGCACAGGCTCCATCCAAGCCTCTGGCCCCGTTTGCTCTGTTCTTTCGCGACACTGTGACGGCCATCAAGCAGCAGAATCCCGCATGCTCCCTCGAACAAATATCGGTCATTGTCCAGACAATGTGGGACTCTCTGGACGAGACGCAGAAGAACGTGTACAGCCAGAGGCACGAGCAGGATAAGCGCGACTATGTGCGGCACATGCGGGACTATCGCCAGCAGTTGTCGGAAACGGAAATCAATCCTCCGGAGGCTAACAACAGCATCCCAGATGCTTCTGTGCCAGCGATTCAAACGACGGATCTGATCACGCCAAACATCGATTCGAGCGCCGAACAAACGCCAGCTTTGGCGGCCGCCACAGCCACATCAACCGAAGCGCCGCCCGAGCAAATCCAATTGCTCACGGAGGCGGCCCAGGCGCCAAAATGCACGCGAGAGCAGTGCAACAAGCCGGCGATCATCAATCCAGACTGGGAGGATGAGTACTGCAGCAACGAGTGCGTGGTCATCCACTGCCGCAATGTTTTCAACGATTGGGCGCTCTCACTGAAGAACTCTCCCACCTAGGGGTCACCCCGACTGAAGCACCAAACTAAGATTAGTCTTCGAGTTTAGTTCAAATTTACCAAAATGCATTGCTTCCCTCCCATAGGCGCCGGCAATCAGCTGTTACATGTCTAGAGCGTTGCCAGACTCGAGAAAAACCAATTGCCGTGCGCCGTTAAAGGGGGATTACCACATACAAAATTGTGATGCAATGTACGATACGAATACGAATATGATTATTACATATATAAATATATGATTTAGTCAAAGGACTGGAGCTGTATGCACCCCTAGAATCTGAGTGTAATGAGAGATATGGCAGGATATATTGTAACTTTTAATAAATACACACATTTATTACTCTTGCACTTCAATATATCATTATACCAATGTATCAATGCGACGTTCCGTTACACAATGCTTACAAAAATCATCCTTCGCTTCCCCTTTTGTATGCATATTATATTAAGTATATCAAATAATTAAAATGTATAAATTATTATTATGAATTCAAATAACATATGTATGTACGTAGGTGTAGGTATGTATAAAAGACGTTTCCTTGGGTTGCCTTGCCTTGAAGTAATGCGCCATTTAGTATTTACGAGTACGAGTTTAAATAAACAACAGTATAAAAAAACAAGGGAACTCCAAACTTAAATTATTATAGAGTAAAGTAGAGTGGGGACATGGTTTCCTTTTAGTTATCTCTCTTTTCTTTTATATGCTATATTACTTTGGGCGGGGGGATAAAGCAGGAGAGTAAAAGACTTTAAATGCGCATACAGCGTAGAGCATAGCGTGGGTCGGGGGAGGCTAGATCATACTTGAAGTAGACTATTTTTAGATTTTGGGGTGTAATATAAGCACTTTTCGATTAGCATTTAACATAAACATACGAGTAAAGCGCACTCTAAATAATATCACCAAATATTTGTTATTCCATTTTGTTGTTTCATTGACATTGCCCTGGCCGGTTGCAATCCTTTGCTGGCCACGCCGCCGATCGTTTCCATATTCGTAATAAGCTAATACAATACAATATTCCTTGGAGTAGTTGTGGGTGGAAGTGGAGTGTGGAGTGTGGTGTGGGGTATTACTTTTTGTTTCTGCTCTAGGTAGCTTAACACGGGGTGTTTAATTGTATTCGCGGCTATCCGTAATTTGTTGCCGCCATTCGCCGTCGCTTGTTGTGGTAGGTAGTTAACATTTTCTTCTTGTTTAATATTTATTATTGTATTTATTGTTATGGTTAAATGGTTTCATGCTCTCCAACTGCAACTGCAACGGCAGCCGCATGCTAGATTATTGACTAGTGTTGCCTTATGGGACGTGTACGGTTCTGCGTGGGGACTGGGTGTCTGGGGCCATATTTGATACGACCTGGAAGCCAATAGGTATACGGATTAGTAGTGATCTTTCCCTTCCCCACCTTCTGTTTTATTTGCGCATTCCTCACCTCATTCTGTTGCTACTGCTGCTGATCTTCTGCTACTCTTCTGCTCTATTCGACAATTTGTAGCTCGCTAATATCCAGATCAGCGCTATCCTTGCAGAAGGTGCTGGAACGTTCGAGCTTCGACTCAACGCGCTCCATGGGCATGTGCGCCCCCTCCATCTGGGCATCGATAAGCAGATTCAGCTTCTGCTTGACCGCCTGGGACGCCTTGTACGAGCCATTGATGCCGTTGGTGGTCACCTTGGTGGCCATGCCATTCGAGACAGCGGTGGTCTTCTTCAGCTGCAGCGTGTTGGGACGTCGTGTGGGTATATTGGAGGGCAGACTGTTGCGCAGATTGTGCTGCTGCAGCATGCTGGCCACAGCGGAATGTGAGGAGGAGCGCAGGGGGCCCGCAGAGGAGCGCAGATGATGCGACCCGCGCTCATCCCCCAAACTTTCGACAGCTGACGCTGATTGCTTCTGTTGCTGTTGCTGCTGCTGTTGCTGCTGCTGCTGCTGCTGGAGCTTGTTCTTCTCGGCCCGCTTGGCTAGGATCTCGCGCGACTTGGCCGACAGGAAGCTGTGGCGTCCCTTGGTGGCTGGTGCCGCCTCTGTGCCGCCTGCTGGCACCGAAATGGAGCGCTGCTTGAACAGCTCGCGGGTGGAGAGCGTACTGCTGACGGAGGACAGCCGACTGGTGGCCGACTTGGTCGTGTGCACCGAACTGGGACTCGAGCCATTCGAGGCCACTCCATTATGCTGCTGTTTGAGCTGCCGCGTTGACTTGTTGCCCACCGTGGAGCCACGCTGCAGGGGCTTCGTCTTGCCACCAGCTGCGGCCGATTGCTTGGCCCCCGCCGTGTGGCCATTCAGCTGCTGGATGCGGGCCAGCTTCGAGCTGCCCGAGAGGGATTCGTGTGAGATCGTTTTGTTGGTGATGACGGAGCTCTTCATGCTCTCCGCCAGCGAGTCCACATTCTGATCGGATGAGTATCGGTCGTTGGTGGGGCCCCGTGAGCTGCTCTTGGCCCGTCTGGCCGGCGAGGAGAGACTGTCCATGGACAGATTGCTGGATTTGTTGCCAAGCCGTGCGGCGTTTCCATTCTGCACGCGCCGCGTGGCCGCCGGACTCGAGTTCCTCGAACTGTCGCTGGAGGAGATGTGCAGATTCTTGGCCGGCGCCTTGCGTGCCCCTCCACTGGCGGGTATACCCGAACTGGTGGCACTGCGCACGGGTCCACTGGGTGCCAACGTTGCCCTTGCCTTGCGCGGCTCCAAGTAGCGGGGTCGTATCTCGCCCAATCGTGGGGCTGCCGTTGGTTTTGTCTTCGTCTCGGCTGCGGGAGGAGCTGCTGCTGCTGCTGCTGTCTTCTTGTGATGCGTCACTGGCGGCGCCTCGGACTGAGTGCGTCGATGCAGATTGATGCTGTTCCGCTCGGAGGCGACCTGGGAGGCGGCACGATGCGGCACATGGGCACGCGAGTTCGACTTGAGCAGTTTGCCTAAAAAGGGAGAGCAGAATGAGATTTGAGATTCTTCCGCTTAGCTGCTGCAGATAGAAAGAGAGAGAGAGAGAGAGAGAGAGAGACTTACTGCTGCCCAGTTCCCGGCTATCGTGATTGGCCTGCACTCCACGGTCCGCTGTCTGGACATGATTGGAGGCTGCTCCCACATCCTGAGTCTGGGTGGCCTTGTACGTGTGCGTCTCCTGAGCGTGGGCCCGTTTCGATTGGGCCTGAATGGCCAGCTTTATCTGCACCAGATCCTGGCTGCGTGTGCTGCCGCCAAAGGAGAAGGCCTTGCCCACCGCCTTGCCGCCCTGCCGCTTCATGTCCAGCGGTTCCGTGAGCCGGGCCATGCCCTGGATCTTCTTGCGCAGCTCCAGGTCCATGCGCTGCCAGGCAGTGACGCGCATCGCTCGCGAACACTGCCGGATCAGGCACTGCTCGACGGTGTAGACCAAAGCACACACGAGACGCACATAGTCCGGCTTCCAGTCGAGCTGCTCCTCCTCCTGCAGGCCATGCAGCTCCTGCACCAGCTCGCTGAGATTACCCGGCACATTGTGCAGCTTCGCCCGCAGCACCGCATTCAGCCGCGTCACGCGCTGATAGCTGCGGCACGCCTGCTCCGGCGTCAGCTCAGAGGCGGCCTGCCGCAGCAGCGCCTCCAGATGGGGAATGTGGCGACTGCGGTCGTGGCCCAGCGACAGGAAGGCATCGCTGGCAATGAGGCTGGCGAAGTGATCGCCCACATAGGCGTGGGCCGCATCCAGTATGTCCCGCACCAGCTGCTCGCAGACGTGTCCCCAGCGGTAGGCCGAAAGCTGCGCCAGCAGATGCTCACAGTCGAGCACCGTGTCCAGCACCGTCTCCGACGTCTGCCAAAGAACGTGAGAGATTAGATCAATCTGAAAGTAAGGCAGTTGTGTGGGGGGGTCTTACCATGTAGGCAATGATCTGCTGACGGCAACGTCCCAGTATGTCCGGCGGCAGCTGGGCAAACTGACGCGTGGGCCACACCTTGAGGTAGTGGCGACAGGTCCAGCGCAGGCACTTGCGATAGAGATCGTCCAGCGCATGGTTGAGGGCCACGGGCAGCACCTGCAGGATGCCATCGATGCAGCCGGAGCACGGCTTGTGGAAGTTGTGGCAGTAGTTCGTTTTGAGCGCGTGCGAGGTGACCTCCTTGAGTCCCTCCAGGCCCAGCAGATCGGCGAGGGCGGCCAGCTCCATGAGGCTGATGCCGTCGGGGGGATGCGAAGCACCCGAATAGATGTGGCACAGGGCAAAGTGCACGGCCGCATAGGAGTAGCCCTGCAGGGAGACCACGCTCTGGGATCCATGGCCGGCCAGCATGGCCGCAAAGTACTGGCATCGGGAGCGCAAAATGCACTTGTGTGCGCGAATGCGACGGCCATGCACCTCGACCAGCATATCCGTGGCGATCTCCTGCAGGAACATCTTGAGCAGATCCTCGCCCAGGCGACGCGGCTGCCGGCAGCTAATGGAAGACTCGTCCATGCCCGATCTGCTGAAGCTCGATGCCAGGCTCGAGTCGGCACTGAGATCGGTCTGTATGTAGTCCACCTGCTGCTGCTGTTGTTGCTGCTGTTGCGCCTGCGCGTGCTCCAGGGTCATGTCGTTGGGCAGCGAATTGGAGAACTCCTTGGAGAAGTTGGGGAAGAGCCGCGACAGGCTGCGGATGTTGTCCACCGAATTCGTAAAGTTCTGCAAGCTGTTGCCCGTGGACCGGGTCATGGCCCACGAGTGGGGACGCCCCTTGTTCTCATCCCGGTACAGTCGCTGGCCCAGCTGGGAGCTGTGGCTGTTGCGGTGGTTGTTGCCCACGCTCTTGCTCATCGAATCCGGCGACTGGAGATCGTGCTTCACGGGCTTGTCCATGTCCGAGAGCTTCACAAAGGAGGAGGCAGCCGGTGCCGCCTGCTTCTGCTGCTGTTGCTGCTGTTCGCCGTGCTCGTTGACCGTCTCCAGGAGCTGCTTCTGCTTCTCGATGGTGGCGTGCAGCGACTCCATGGTATGGCCATTGGTGAGCGCGGACGAGACCGAGACCGTGACCGTCTTCTTGGGCGAGGCCGTCTCCTTGGCCTCGATGATCGTCTCCATGACGCTGGTGCGATTCGAGCTGCTGCTCAGCTGCACAGGGATCAGCTGTTGTTGCTGCTGCTCCTGGGCCTGGGCCTGCTGTTGGGCCAGCTGCTCGTCCTGCTGGAAGGTGAGATCGTCCGTGTCCGTGTTGGAAGCTGGCGACATGTCCTTGGACAGCACTCCCTCCGTCACGGAGGCCATGCTGCTCTTATCGTACGTCTCGTTCAGCTGCACATCGCATCGCCGCTTCTTGAGGCGACCCCCAACCAGCTGTTGCTGCTGCTGCTCCTCGTCGGAGCAACTGCTCAGCCCGCCGGCATTGGAGCCGCCGCTGTAGTCGTCGTAGGGCGACAGGGAACTGTCCACCGACAGGGAGGAGGCCTTCGAAATGATCGGCAGCTTGTCAATGATGCTCATCAAGCCCGCCCCCGAGTCCGTGCCGTTTACTCCGTTGGCCGTCAGACTGATGGAACGCTTGCAGTCGTTGCCCGCTCCTCCGTGCTCCGGATTCCCATTGCTGCCCCAGCTATGCCGCTTCGTGGGATCGCTCTGCTGCTGCTGTCGCTGCTGCTGGGAGATGCGACGCAGTGCGGCCACGGTCAGGGGTGGATCCAGATTACATCTGTAGTCCAAGGATTTGCTTTCTCCTGCTCCCGTTCCAGCTGACAGCATCTCCTTCTGTGTGGCACTCTTGGCCATCAGGGTCTCCGTTGAGCTGGCACTGGACTTCATCACATCGCCGACCACCTCACCGCGTCGCTGGACAGTGGCGGCGGAGGAGCTCAGTGAGCTGGACAAACGCTGGGCCAAACTGAGGGGCTCCTTGCGTCCATTGGGCTGGTGTCCGCGTGGTGTCTTCTGCTCGCCGCCAATGTCGATGAACATGCTGAAGATGTTCTTCTGCTCCGACTGCTGCTGCTGCTGCTTCTCCTCGGCCGCCTTTTGCTGCACCTCCTGCTCCGCCTCGTTCTGCGCAAGATTCACAAAGAAGCCAGCGGACTTGGGCGCCGTGTAGGATTTGCTGAGCTGCGATGGTGGCTGGACCTTAGGCTGTGCCTGTGCCTGTGGCTCTGGCGGCTTTCGATCCATGTCATCCAGTGAAACGTAGAAGCCGCAGCCGCTCTTGTGCGAACTGTTCGAGTCGGAGCGCTCGCGGAAGCTGGAGGTGGTGCTGCTGGTGCTGCGACGACGCTCCGGCCGACAGTCGCTCATGTCCACCACCCAGGAGGCTATGCCGGTCACCGGTTTCCTCTGTAGTCCCGCACCCGCACCCGACTTCACGCGCAGCTCCACACCGGAAATCTCCGCATCATCGGCATCGTCATCATCCTCATCGTCGTCCTGCAGGGGGCGCGTGGGTGCAAAGTCCAGCGAGACAAAGCCACCGGACACAATGGGGCAGGTGTCGGTGCGCCGCTTGATGCTGGGACTCTCGCACTGCTTCTGCCGAAAGTCCTCGATGGAGGCCCCGCCCGGACACAATGGGATTGGCCTCGTCGAACTTGGAGCTGCGCTTGGGGGTGCGGGGCAGGGGCAGCGGCGAGTCCGTGGCATCGCTGCAGTAGGCGCCCGAATCGCGGTGATGCGACAGCGAAGAGGACAAGGTGTAATCTCTGTGGATGGAGCTGTTGTTGCTGCCCGATGCCGGCTCTATGTGCACCATCGAGTTGTGTGGCGTCGATGCCGCCACGGAGACGGAGGCCGAGGCCGAGGCGGAAGAGTGCGGCGCATGCGTGGCTCTGCTGTGCTCCGACCAGACCAAACTGGGAGCCGGGCTGCTGGACGAGTAGTCCGTGGTGTAGCTGAGATCGGGCTGTCCATTGTTGTGGTTCTGGTGGCTGTGGCTGTGTTGGTGTTGGTGGGTCGCAAACTTCGGGCTGCTCCCCAATGGATGCACACTAAAATGCTGCGCATTGTGCTGGAAGCTGAACGGCCCCCCGCCGCCGCCGCCGCCGCCACTGCCCATGGAAACCATTGGGCGCTCCTGTTCCTCCTGCTCTCGTCGCATCTTCACACTGAGCGAGGAGTCGGAGGAATCGGCATCGTTGGAGCTGCTGCGGCCGTGACTCATGCTCGAACCTTTGCACCTGGCAAAGGCCTTGTGGAACTGCTCCAGCTGCTGGGTGGGCGAAGCTTCCTGTGTCTCCTGCTCGTGATCATCGGCTGTAGCTTCGATCTCCACTTCGTGCTCCTCCCCGTGCTCCTCTGCGTGCTCGTTCTCCTCTTCCTGGGCATGTCCGTCGAGGCTGGGAAAGGACAGCACCTCATCTTCGTCGCGCAGCGAGGAGGCGTCTATGAAGCAGGCACTCGTCCCGGATGTGGACAGCGGCTGATCCCGCTTCTCCAGGTCCCGCAGCAGACAACTGGCGCTGATCCCTTTGAAAACGGAGCTCGATTCCGCTTCGGTGCCCAGTGTCTCCCCATCCTCCTCCGGCGCTGACGGTGCTGGTGGTGGTGGCTCTACGGCCACTGGGTACATCGACTCCCAGGAGCCCGTCTCTGTGGACACTGTGGAGGTCTCCATGCACACAATTTCCTCGTTCTGGCGCTGCTTCTCCTCTTTGGAGGCGGGTTTCGTCTTGCTGCTGCTGCCGCTGCAGCTGCCCCCTTCGAAGATCTTGTTGTCCAGGCCCGGTTCGCTGACGGAGGCAATAACCTCTGCTCCCAGAGCGGAGGCTGCCCCGTTGCAGTCCGGACTGGACACTGGCGAGAAGGTGTCGCGCTCCTCCTCGCCCACATCCACCTCGCAGGTCTTGCCCGCCGACGATGAGCCTGTGCCCGCCGATCCGCTGTGACTCTGACTCTGATTCTGATTCTGGGTTGGTTTTGGGGCCTGATTATGACGCACAGCAGCGACTGCTGCTCGTAAATCCTCGCTGTATTGGGGCGCCGACGAGGATGAGGATGTGGTGGAGGGGCTGCAGACACTGCTCCCACTTGGGCTGCTGCCGCTGTTGTTGGTGAGATTCGAGTAGTTCGAGTGATTGGGCGAGGCGTCCACCTGCTGGTCCAATGACCTGCCCGATACCAGTGCAGGAGCTGCCGCAGGGGATGTGGGCGATGCGTCCATTGTAGCCAGTGGACGACGGTGGAGTGGGACGGGGTACCAGTTCCAGTTCCAGCTTTCAAAGCACCAGCTAGGGTACAGCTAGGGGAGGAGGCGGTGGAAGAGGTGGGGTGATGAGGATGAGAGAGGTTCGAGGCCTCAACTCATCGACGCTTTTCCGGTCTGCCTGGTTATGGTTCGCTGCTGCTGTTGCCTGCTGCCTTCTGCCTGCTGCCTGCTGCTGCCTGAATGCCAAGTGGCTGTCAAGTGGCTAGGGCCTGCTCTTGGGCTTTGGCTTGGGCTTGGGCTACACTCTTTTCCCTTCTTTTTTTTGTTGCAGCTTTCTGCTGTTGTTGTTGCTGTTGTTGTCAGTGTCTAGGGCTGCCTACATGGCCACATGCTGCATTCCCCTGCTGGCCTGCAGCTGCCTGTCAACAATCTGCCTGGGACTGGGGGCTGCTGCCAAAGTATCTCCCAGATACTGGAGGGAACTACTAAAAATAGTCTCCAGAATAGCGAAATCGATATGCAGTGTCCTGCTGCTGCTACTGCTGCTGTTCCTCTTCGGCTCGCTGCTTCGTTGTTGGTTTTTTTTTTGGTTTTGGTTTTAGTTCGTCTTCGTTTTCCCTTTTATTGCCGCTGCAGTTTGGTTTGCTGTTCGTTTCCTTTGTTTGTTTTGTTGCTTTTTGCTTTTTTGGTTTTTGCTTTTTTTTTCTGCAGCGTCTGCTGAAGTTCACACCGTTATTTCTCCTTCTTCCTCTTTGTCTTCTTCGGCTTCTTCTTTGCTGTCAGCGTTGCGTTTTGATGACGATGTCGCTGCTGCTGCTGCTGCTGCTGCTCGCTGATTTATCGCCAATTGTGCCAATTGATGGGTTTTTTTTCTGCTGCTGCTGTTGCTGTTGTTGTTGTTTTCCTTGTTGTTGTTGCACAATTAAACTGCATAAAAAGAGTAAAGGGAAGAGGTGATAAATATGTATGTAAGTAATCCCATAAGAAGTGTAAACCGACAGAAATTACTTCACAATCTCTATACAAGCACTTCAACCATATTTTGTTTAAGTTTAATGCATTTTTATTGTTTTACTTAAGAGAAGCTTTGAATGCAATATTTTTTTATAATTTTATTGTACTTTTTTTCAGAGCCAAATATTCAAATTTTAAATTATATTTTTTTTTTTTTACATTTTACTATTTAGGAAATTACAATAATCAAAGGAAAAATATACTTCAGTAAACGGTTGGATTACTGACAACTACCACAAATCAACTACCACTTTTGCCTATGTCTGATTAAGCAATTGATGTTCATTTAAATGCGAGTCTGGGAGTTGACGTCAATGCAACGCCAACACCCACCATCCGCCACCCGCCCATCAGCTCATCATTAGCCCCACCCAAGCAGAGCACCCACCAGCACAACACAGCACAGCCCAACCACCCACCAGAGAAACCGCAGCAGCAGACAATAGCAAAAGTCAGGCAGCGCTTGACCCTCGCTGCCTGCTTCCTTTTCTAATGCTGCGCCGCTATGCCCCACCCCCCCAGAGGCAAACACAAACATATAGAATTTCAATTCCAATTTGTCATATCTCGGAAGCAAGTGCATGCTCTCGGGAAACAAAACTGCTGGCCGAGCTGGGCTGGCTGGCGCTTCATTCTGTTTGAAATTGAATACCAGGGAAGTGAGAATATGCTGGAGGGGATAGCCACAGGCCACAGAGACCCAAAGAAAACAAAAGGAACCTTATGGAGACGTCTCTGTTTGCACAGTTTGATAGAGCGCGGGAAGTTCCGACTGGAGCTGAAATTTCAGCGAATTTACGCGTAAATAATAAACATTTTTATAAGGTATGGCATTCGTGTTTACACTGGACAAATATTGGCTCAGTTCACTGAGAGTTGAGAAGGTTTTTCGACATGATAATGGAGTGGGGGGGGGGAACACCAATTGACACATTCGAAAGTTGATTAAAAGAAAAGCTCTTAAGCAATCACAAAAGTGCTCATTGGTCGTATAATATCTATAGGGTTCTCCTGCTGTACATATATTGTGTTGATTATTTTTCATTATTGTAATATTATTCTGCGATTGAATTTGCATACAAAGGCAAGAGGCGAAGCCAATGGCACAACAAATCGCCTGAACATGAAAAATTAATAACTTCTACAAGCAGTATATACATACTATACATATACAGATTTTCCAAGTGGTTGATCATGCAAATCGTGTCTATCTATCTGCCTGTCTCTCTGTCTGTCTGTCTCAGAGACAAAGAAATAAACCTGGTAACGTACAGATGTATAAATCAGCAAATAAGCGTACAAAGCGGACAAAGATCGATCGCCTGGCATGTTACATTTTGTTAGATGATATCTGATACCATTTTCTTAGCGTAAGATATCTTTTCTTCAACAAAGACATTATCTTCGTTCGTGCCACAGGTCACAAGGGTGGTGAGGGGATGGTTCGTTAGTTCGTTCAACCTCAACAACTGAAACACAAAGGCCAAAGATCACACCCGATACGATATCGTTGTAAAAACAAACAGTTGGTTGGCAATATACTTACGACTATATCCACCAGATAAACGTACGGCAATTATGTAATTTATGGCTTATTGCACACGATATGCATGTAAAGAGAACAGCGTAGCCGCCGGCAGGCAGTGCTACCAACATAAACAAAAACAACGCACAAGAAACCACTACCATAATCAGCGGCCAAGACAAGACAAGAAAAAAAACAAAAAACAAAAACAAATTCATTTGTAACTCGATAATTGCACGTTCTGTCAGATACATACAACATAAGTACGTGCAACGGAATTGCACTACCCGTTTTTCTTTTCTTTCCTTCCTTTTGCCCCCACCCCCTTCATTATTCAGGTTGGATGAGTTATAGACCCGTCTATAGCTTCTATATATGGCAGGCAAATGTTGCACTCACACGAAATTTACTTAATTGCAAATTAATAAATGTATTTCGAGGGTAAACGTTAAAATTTTAAGCTCTCAAGTGTGATATTGGATAGGATATACATACCTACATACTTATACATACAATTGTGTTCAATGAAATAGTAGTGCCGCACCTCACTACTTTCAAAACTCTTTTTGAGATAGTTCTAGTCTTTCAAATTGAACAAGTGATACCTTTACGGAAAGCCTGGAATGTAGGCATTGGATAACCGAAGAAACACCGTTACATTTGCATTCCATCTTCTTGTTTTTCATGACTTTAGATAACTACCCATGATATCTTCTGTTCAATGAAATAGTAGTGCTAGATTAAATTAATTTTAAAAAATGAAAAAACAAAGCAAATTAATTTAAATAAGCCACCATCCGCAAGCTCAATTCAAAAATCGAATAATTTGATGAAAGAAAGTTTTGGACATAGCGGTACTTTTGATTTTGAAGCGTTAAAGAAATCATTGCTCGGTCCAGAAGAGGATACTTAAGAGTTAGACTAAAAACTTAAGGCAGAAGGTATATTGGAATTGAAAACTAAGTTGTATGCACTCTCACTATTGTATTTAACCCAATTAACTAAAAGAAGTAGACTGCAAATCGATTTTGTATGCGAAAAAATTATTTTTTAGAGGATGGTCGGCGATGGTCGAAGGCAAGACCAGGCCTTTAATATCCTCAAAAATTATGAAAAAAATTTTAAATCGCTATGTCAGTGATGTGACGGTTCTTAGACGGTTGATTACACATTGTTTGAATGCAAGAAGTCCCAGAAAGCTCCGCGTTTGGGTCTAAGAGTACATGGGTGCACGACTTCAGTTTGGAAAAACGCATGTGGAATGGCCTGTGTCACAGTGACAAAAATACTTTTGACTGATGATAGTAAAGTTGTATTATATGGTAAGATAGACTCAAAAGAATATGTTTGGCATTCACAGAAATTCAATTACTACTTAAAATCATGAAAAAAATAGCATTGGGCATGGAAGGCTGAGCCTTATGGGGCCCAGCTCATATAAGCTAGTACTTTCTAGCCTGGCGTTTGAGTATATTATGGTTTTGAGCGAAACTGTGTATGTAGGCATACTTTAGAATACATTAAATTCAAATTACAGTTGAAAAATTCATGTTAAAAGGATCTTTTAACAGGATAATGACTTAAAATACCCAGAAAAGCTCGCTAGGAATTGATTTTTATCGGAAAAGATCGACGTTTTTCCATGGCCAACTGTCCAACTGGATATAAATCTCATCGAAATCTTATGCTGGAATACCAAATACATTGTTGCAACTGCAAATCCGTGAACCAGAGCCAAGTTTTAGCAAGTGGTTCATGGATTATTGGCTCAAATCTTATTGAAGCGTTGGCAAGAGATTAATGACCCATATCCGGCCGGTGCAAGTTCGCAATGAAAACCAAATTGATAAAAAACTACAAATTAAAGCTCAAGAAACATGAAGAACATGAGATATATGTTTTTATTTGAGTTTCGTTGTTTTTTTTAATTTTCTAAAAAAACACTACTATTTCATTGAACAGCATATTTTATGGGTATTCGGCTTATGTCATGTAAAACAAGAAGATGGAATGCAAATGTAACGGGGTTTCTTCGGTTATCCAATGCCTACATTCCGGGCTTTCCGTAAAGGTATCACTTGTTCAATTTGAAAGACTAGAACTATCTCAAAAAGAGTTTTGAAAGTAGTGAGGTGCGGCACTACTATTTCATTGAACACAACTGTACATAGGTATTATTGCAGCTATTGGAATGTTGGAATGTTCTGCCAGCACTTTAAATATTCAACGATTGTTTACGATGGTTTTTATTGGCAAGAAACCCCCATAATAAAATGCTCTATGATTACCATTTCCATCCACAATGTTGAAAAAATCTGCTAGTTATTATATTTTGAAGGTTTATTTTTTAATGATCGTTTGCTTTCGATGATTAAGCCTCAAAAGGTAACAGTTTTATTCGAATAAACCATAAAATAAATTTCATTATATCAGCATCTATGAATATCCAAAGTAATAATCTACAAATGTAAAAGGTTTTCACTCTTTAAAGTCACAAAAAGAAAACTCAATTAAAACGAGAAGGAACGTGTGAGTCGCTTCTGGGGACGCGACTCTACTTATACCCGTACTCAGTCAGTATATACATTTTTGAGCTTATGATTTTTTAGAATTTTAGAAAAAAAAAAAATTTTACATTTTACATTTTTTTGCTACATTTGTTATCTACATCTCATCT